ACCTCATGCGTGTTAAGCATGCACTCTACCACCGAGTTATACCCTCCCCACCCGCAACTTGCTGATTTTAAAGAGGTGATGGCTCAGCTGCAGGTGGAGTCAGGAGGAAAGAAGGGTCTAGAACCCTGGCCTCTGCGGATTTCTGTGCCTCCTGGTTAGAGACAGAGGGAGGGGAAGTGGGGGCCCTGGCCCTGCTGCTCACACAGCTGGCTCTCACTGTTGGAAGGAAAAGTGTCCTCAAAGGCCACAAAGGGAGGTTTGGGGGCAAAGGTCAGGGCCCCCAGGGGCCTGGTCACACACACCTGGAGGCTCTGGCCAGGCTGAACCACTTCAAGATAAGTGAGGGGAAGGAGATGGGCGAGGAGAAAGGGAGAGAGAGGAAAGGAGAGACCAGCTTGAAGAAGAGAACCCGCTTAGCCTCAGAGAAGGGGTGGCGAGGAGACCTTAAGACAAACCTGCTGGTCCACACCAGATCCCAGGCCGGCACCTCTGAGCCCTTGCTTGGCTTCTCCCCCACTGACTATTTTACAAATGGGCCTGCGCTGGCGCAGAGATGGAGGGCGTCTGCCGCGCGAGGGGGCAGGGGTCCCCCGGCCCCAGTGTCTCCTGTCCCGCACCAGCCCTCTACTCACCAGGCACCTTTCTGAACAGAGCATCCCCTCCCGCCTGGAGGGAGCTGTCCGGACAGACCTCGGGCACCGCCGCCAGGAGAAGAGGCTCTGGGGAAAGAGGTGGCCAGCTCAGCCCTCCTTCCAGAGACACTCACCATTCATCTGGGAGGGAGAGGATGAGTAGTCCCGCTCCGCGTGCCTCCGCTCTGGTTTCAGATTGCGGCTCTGTCGGCTCGAATTCTCCAGCATGTTCACGAGCTCACTGCGGTCGATGCTCCGCAGGGCAGCGTACAGGTTCTCCACTGTGGGGAGAAGGAGGGGGGCATGCTTGTGGAGGGGGGACCTTTAACTACCACGGGGCATGCAGGGCGCTGCCTGGCTCTGAATGGAATGGGGACGATGTATTTCTTCAGCATGTGCTGGCTGGCTCCCCTTTTGTCAGAACCAAAACAAACCACCCCTTTGGAGAATACAGGCAGACCTCAAAGGTATTGCGGGTTTGGTTCCCAACCGCACAATAAATATTGCAATAAAGCAAACATCACAATGAAGCAAATCTAGCAATAAAGCAAGGCATATAAAATTTTTTTGTTTCCTTGTGCATATAAGAGTTACGTCTGCACTATAGTCTGTTAAGTGTGCAACAGCATTCTGTCTAGAAAAGCAATGCACATATCTTAATTTTAAGACATTGCTAAAAAATGTTACCATCTGAGCCTTCAATGAGTCTTAGCAGTAACATAAGGAGAACTGATCACAGATCACCGTAACAAATACAGTCACAATGAGAAAGTCTGAAATGTTGAAAGAACTACCAAAATGTGACAGACACAAAGTGAGCAGATGTGGTTGGAAATTGGCCTCAATGGACTTGCTCAGTTTGATCTGTAAAAAAAAAGCAATCTTTGCAAAATGCAATAAAGCCAGATATGCCTGTATTTTGTTACCCTTGAAGAGATCTTTTCCAAATCCTAGTGGTCAATTGCAAAGCACAGAAAGACTGATGGGTTTTTGGGGGGGGGTTTCTTTGTAAATTAAGAAAAATACTATAAAAAATGACAGTGAGAGTGACTGGATTCTTTTGTAAATTAAGAAAAATACTATAAAAAATGACAGTGAGAGTGACTGGATTCTGTCCTTTGGAAGTCCTTGGTCCTGGCCAGTTGACTGGAGATGCAAATATAAACCCTCAGTTTCCTCTTAGTATTTGTGGGGATGGGAATGGGCTGAGAAGGAGCTGAAAGAGTGAGACAAATCTTCCTTCCAGGCTGGAGAAGGTCCTGGAAGAACAAGAACTTTATCAGAGGGGACTCCTCACCGGCTCTGTCCGTGGGGACAGTCCTCATTTGTCTGAGAAATTCAACAGGGAGGCACACTGTTGAATTCTCACTGTCATCTCATTCTGAGGCTGGGAAGAGATCGCAGCCACGATTCTCTGACACTCTCTCCCGGAAGGCTTCCCCAGGAGACCCAGGGGCCCTGAGAGGCACGTGTGGGACAGACACAGAGACAGAGCACGAGAGACTGAATCCAGAGACCGAGGCCACACGTGGAATGTGGAGGGGGAGCTGGCTGGTGAGAGTAGGTCCTGGCACAGGCTTTGGAAAGAGAAGGTTCCCCAGCTGATGGGTACTGACTCTTTGCGTTCTGGCCTTCACGGACGACCCAGAGGTTCAGCAAGGCTGCGCTCTGCTCCAGCAAGGAGTTGGGGTTCTCCACACGGATCCTGTTAATGTCTTCCACGCTGAACTGCAGCTCCCGGGCCAACTCTGCATGCAAAGGACCAAGAGCAGGTGTGAGGCGGACCCGAGCCCAGCCCCGGCCCGCTTGGCTGGTGTGCAGAGCGGGGCGCCCGGCGGTAGGGATCGGAGGTTGAAGAACGGTCTCCCCTTTATTTCTTCTTCCCAAGAAATACCTAGTGAAATGTCTCCCCATAAAATAGGCCGGGAGTACCAGTGCGTACAGGAGGAAACGGGTATTGATGAAGGAATGAATGAATGCCCTTCCCTTCTTTCATCACTTCAAACACGAGGTGACAAGAAGGAGCCACTTATCCGAGGTCACAGAACCAGCTGGTACCACAGCCAGAGAGTGGCCGAGCCAGGACTTCCTTTCCAGCAAGAAGCTGGAAATCTCCATCCTAATGGAAACGCATCTCTGCATTTACATTTCTTCAGGGAAAGGCGTTACTCACATTTAAGATGAAAATACAAGTTCCCATCTCAGTGCAAGGGAGTAACACAGAATGGCAGCCTTTCCCCTCCTGTTATTTTAATCGTTGTCTCTCAAAGGCTCTTTAGACGGGATCGGAGTCTCATCTCAAGGATGAGGAAGCCCAGAGGGGAGAGTGTGGGGGAGAAGCAGACCTTGTGTGCACCACACCCCACACACCACACACTCACCATGCACACCTCGCAGCACACTCACACACTCCCCCTGTCCCCCCTTCCCGCTCACACACAAGGAGCAACAGCAGACGTGCTTTTTTGGCTTAAAGAATGAAGGGTGTCTGAACTCCGCTGTGAGCCTGTGGCGCTGCCTTTCACAGCTACTGCTGAAGGTCCGGGTGTGTGCACAGCCCTCTCTGCAGGTGCCGAGCTGGGCGCACAGGAAAGGGGGCTCAGGGACGGCTCGATGGGGCTTCAGGGAGGCCTCAGCCATGGCCAGAGACTAGAGAATGAACGCGGTTGAGATGCGCCCTTTCTCCCTGCCTTTCCCTCAACCCAGCGCAGGGGGCCGTGGATGGGGCAGGATGCACACTGTATGTGCTTTGCTCTGGTTTCAGGGCCATTACTAACTCACTACATAACTAAAGCCATTCTAGGTAGCTGGTCTCAGTTTCCCATCTGTAAAATGGGGCGGATGGGGTCCAGTCTAAGGTCTCTTGTGATGTCAGAAGTTGATTCTTTCCAAGAAGGAAAACCAGCAGAAGTGGAGAAGGGGCGGAGCCCCCCATCGGTGCCCACGGGGGTTGGGGGTGGTGCCACAGCTTCACCCATGACAATCCCAAATCAGATGCACAGTGGACAGTGGAAAGAGGTTTCGACAGGCTCTCATCAGCCGTTCTTTAGAGGGGAGGTGGTGTCGAAGCAGGTGGAGACAGGAAAGGTGCTTTTCTGCCCCAATTCTGTGACTCACCTGCCCAGCTGAGGCCCAGGTGTTCTGATATGATTGCCATCTTCATGTCTGCTCGGTCCATGCCACTGAGGACACCTGGGGGAGGCACTGCATGTCACTTCGCGGCCCTGGCGGGACACCTACCCGACCGGCGTGCGTGGGTGACCTCAGAGGGTGTTCAGGTCAGGCTCCATGTCCCCTCGATCAACCTGAAGCCAGTGAGGGTCAGAGGGGGACCTGGGCCGAGGGCTCCCCGTGCAGTGTTCATCCCAGACTGAGCGGATCGTGTGAACGCAGGGCTCTTGGTGGGGCGAGGGGGCCCCATCTCACTCACCGCCCCCACCCCTCCAGAAAGGGAGTGAGTGCGTAGCTCACAAAGAGGTTTGTACCCAGTGTGGACTCGCTGAAAATGCTGTACTTCAGGCCCAGCGGCGTCAGGGTCCTCCTCCGCTCGTCAGCTCCGCTCCCCTGCAGCCGAGAGACCAGGAAAGGGGCTGTGGGTGCAGGTTGGGGGGACACCCGTCTCGCGGACGGTGAGCACCTCCACTCTCTGGGGGAGCCTCCACACGCAGGGTGGGAGAGTGGGAAGAGGGGGTGTGAGGCTGTTGATGGGGTTCACGCACTATAATAATAATAAGAACAACAACAACTGATCGCCAGCCAGGCCCTGCTTGACGGTCACAGCATCCCAGGAGGTGGTACTAACATTGCTCCCATCTCACGGATGCGGAAACTGAGGCACAGACGGTGGAATGACCAGCCCAGGTCACCCAGCTTGGAAGTGGTGGAGCTGGGGTTTGAACTGAAAAGAACCAGCTTTTCCTTCTGGATTCCCTTCTGCTCAAAAGACCTGCTTTTGAGGCCCCGGGCTTCACCCGCCGGGCCTGTGACAGAGCGCCCGGGTGCTTGCTCGCTGGAGGCTGTGGACAATGATCCTCTTGTGAGAGAGAAGTCAGTTCTCCCTCATCCTCGGACAGGAAAGAGAAATCAAGCTTCGAGTGCACGGACGTGACCTTGCTTTTCTCTTTTCTGGTCTGGCGTGAAAGGCTGATGATTAAAACAGGGGAGACGCGATGCCTCCCTGGCCTGGTGCGGCAGAGGCTCCGAGGCTCCCAGGCCCCGGGGAACGGATGTGCATGGTCACCACAGCTCTGCTGAGCTCAGGGCCCCGGGTGTGTGCAGGGCTGAGACGCCAGCTTCCCTTCTCTGAGGGTCTGGCCCCCGGGGGAGCCAAGCAAGTACATGCAAGAGGCTCCGAAAAAGCCAGGATGTGGCTGGGACACCTTGAGCCACTGGCCGCCCAGTTCTCACCCTCAGGCCTCAGCAAGAGATGCCGGGTGCCCTCCAGGCTCCTTCCAAGCTCCTGGAAGGACAGTCGTGGGGAGCTCAGGGCCATGGTGTGAACCCTGATGTAGGTTCCTGAGCTTTGCAGGAAGGGCCGAGCCCAGCCCATGTCAGCAGAGAGCCGAGGGCCCTTCTCTGCTCTCCGACAGGAGGGAGCCACGGTTTCGGCCAAGGGTCCTGACGGGCACTCACCTTGGTGCAGGGTGGCATGGTGATGTTCAGGTGACAAAGAATGTGCTGGGTGTCCTCATATTTCATCGCCTTGCGCAGGAATGACAAGGACCCTCCTGGTTCTCGACTGCTGTCCCTTACCTACACGTGTCACCCGCAAGGAGGAGTCAGGGGCCGCCTCACAGGCCGCCGGCACCTCCTACCTCCCCAGCTTCCAGACCCCGGGCGGAGGTGGGCGGGGAGTCCCGCACCTTGACGGGGATGACCAAACGGTTCTCCCGAAACGACTGGAAGAGGAAACTCCGCTGTTGGGCGGCCTTTTTGACGGGCACCAGGTTCCCAGACAGCTCCGCAAAGAGGGGCATTCCTTCCAAAACCTGCAGGCACGGGGCAGCCAAGGCAGCTGGTCAGGATCCACCTGGCCCGCCTCTCAGCTCCAGGCTCTCCCCATTGACAGCCCCGGGGCTGTGCTCTAAAAAACCCCACCTTGTGCTTTGGAAAGGTTATCAGAATTCTCTAGAACTCCGCTGGGCTAGCATCCTGTGGCTTCCAAAAAAAACAAACAAAACAAAAAAAAACTTGATCCCTTTTAACAGTTGTCCAAAAATGTTTAGTTTATCTGAAGGACCATGTTGTATTTGAATCTCCCCTATAAGACAGTGATTCCTACTGTGGATGCAATGTTTTCCACTGAGAAGTTATCACGAACCCATTTGACAGATGAGGAAATTGAGGCCCAGAGAGACAAAATGCTTTGCTTAGGGCCCCAAACCGCAGGAGAGGCAGGTCCCAGCCTTGTGCTTCTTCTTCTGGGCCCTCAGCACCCACCAGAGGCACAGAACAGGCTCTGAGGCCAGGCCTTCGGAAAGGTCTTGGCTCATCACACACCATAACGGGAGTGAGGCCCCTGGGACCAGTAACAGGTTCAAGGCTAATTCCCGTTCTTTACTCTTCCCTGAACCTGTCTGGCCCTCTCCCCTGCGTCCTCATCTGGGCATGGCCAAAACCCTGGTGTAGCAGGTGACAAGATGGACTCCACGGTCTGACTCCTGGGACAATTGTGTATTTAGTTCTGCGAACCTGGGCAGGTTACCTGACCTCTCTCAGCCTTGCTTTCCTCAAATCTGAGTAAGAAAAGTACACCCGGTTATGAGAATTGGGTGGGACGATGCTGGCTGAGCACTTTTAATAGCCCCTGGTACCTGAGAACTTTAACAAACGCCAGCTCTTAGCACCACAAACCACTGGGCTGACAGCCTGCTGCCTGCCTAGGGGACCCCAGTGGTGTCCCTCAGCTCTGGGGATGCTTCTGGAAGATGCTTCTCCAGAGGGGAGTCACAGCCACGCAGCCCGGGAGCCCCCCTGCAGAGGCCCCAGGTCCCAGCGCCCGGCCCCACGCCGGGGTGGGGGGCTGCGGCCCCGCACCTCGATGTCCCTGCTCCGGGCCACCTCCACGAAGTTCTCGTGCTGCTCCAGCGTCTTGTCCACCTTGTCGTCCGTCATGCAGTAGCAGCGCAGACGCCCCTCCCGGGGGTCGGTCATCTTGGCGAAGATGACAAACCTGGCCGTGTAGGGCACCGCGGTGAGCTCCTTGTACAGGAGGGAGGCGAAGTTCACGGCCTCGGCCGTCCGAGGACAGTCCGACAGCCAGAATCTGGAGAGAGGACAGCTGTGAGCCTGGTCCTGAATGCCCGATGGGCCGCGTCCCCTCCATGCGACAGGACCCCCTGGGTACCGGGGCAGTGGCCGCTCTGACACCCCCGGTGGTCGGGTGAGGCTTCCAGGTGGAGAGGAGGACCCTTGGGTGCAAGCCTGGGCCGGGCAGGTGGTGGTGTGGGCGTGGCTACCTGCGGGGACAGCCCTGCCCCCTCATGCGGGCCCGGGACCGTGGGGCTGGGCTGGGCGGCATCTCACCTGGCGGAGACGTTGGTGGTGAAGGTGGCGCACTCGTTGGCGTACACGAGTTTGGTGGTTCCTGTTATATCTTCCCACTGGGCCTGGTCCGTTCCTCCTGCACCAGGAGCAGAACCAGGCTGGGAGACAGTCGCCGCAAGGCAGACACGGGGCGCAGCAGGATGGTAAGGGCTGCGCGGGCATCCCCGGCTGTGGCCCCAGTGCACCCACTCCCCATGCCCTCCTCCTGCTCTGGTACCCCCTCCTCTGGGCTCAGAGGGCCCTTCCAGCGACAGGGAGGCTCTGCTCAGACGCACCACCCCTCATCCCCCAGAAGAGCACATCACTTGCTCACCCCACCTTCTCCTGTCCCCAGGTGTGGCCACCAGAGGGCAGATCAGGGCGGGGGGCGCCTCTCACCAATGACACTGCAGAGCAGCCGCAGGCTGGTGGTGTCTCCCTCCCCACTGTCCCTCGGATTGTCTGTCCAGGAGGGAGGGAGCGGGATCCGAAGCCCTATGGGCCGGTGGAACTTCCGGCGCCGCGGCTCCACAGTGACGATGGGGCTGAACGTGGCCTGGTTGCCCAGGAGTTTGGTGACCAGCTCATCCGGTACAGGCTGGGCCTGCGGGTGCCAAAGGGGGACCCTCAGCCCTGGAGCAGCAGAGGGGCTCGTGGACGGAGGAAGAGAGAGGCTGTCCATGCAGGTGCAAAGGCTCCCGGGGGCGGGGGTCCCACTACCGTCCTCTCTGAGCCCCGTTTCCCCCAGTTCCCTCTCATTCCCGGGTGCCATGTTTGGCATCAAGTAGCTCTCCAGGAAGCCACGTGGCTTCCCCTCACGCTGAGCATAACGGCCTGTAATGTAACACGGTATCCGGGGCTTTCTGCAACTTAACAGAGCATCTGCCTGATCCCACCCACCCAGCTTTCTTCTGAGCTTTAAGGCCAGGGTCCTAACTGGACTTTCCAGGCCCTTACCACCATGTGGGGTGTCCTGGGGAGAAGGGACGTCTCCCAGGGCCTTCACACCTTCCACCCTTGAACCCGGGCCCGGTGATGGGGCCCTGGCAGGCGAGGAGGGGCTGTGTCACCTGCAGGGCCAGCTTCACCCTCTTGGTGACGGCATTTTCGGGGAAGGTGGCCTGCACCAGGGGGACCAGCTGGCTCTTCAGGGAGCCCCCCTCAGGGCCGATCGTGTCGTAGTCCTGGCAGAGCCGTGACATGACCACGAAGTACAGGGGGAAGTCGGTGGTGATGATGCGGCAGACCCTCCGCTTCTCCAGCTCCTCCAGACTCTCCAGCTCTGTGACCACACATGCACGGTGCCGCCGTCAGCACCGCGGAGTCCCAGCCTCTCATCCCCGCTCCCACCGGCCCCCACCGGCCCCCACCTCTCCAGGAGGCTGAGCCACCTGGAGGGAGCAAGGTCCTGGCCCAGAGGGTCCAGCAGATGGAGACCAGGCTGCAGGGGTCCGGGGAGCCAGAGCTGGACCATCTCCAGACTCTCGGGGCGTCCCACGCTCCAGGAGGCCCCGATGGCCCACCCAGAAACGCAACCTCACCCCCCACCCTCCGGGATCGCAGGGGCTCGGGCACCTTCATCCATCCCGTTGAGGAGCTGATCCAGGTAGCTTTCTCCGTAGCGGCTCTTGTGTTCCTTCCAGACGGAGCCGTTTTCACTCCGCAGCACCACGAGCTCACGGTCCCCGCGGCCGGGGGAAGCAAAGTGGGGGATCTCCACGATCACAGGGCTGAGGGGACCGAGCGGACAGTGGGGAGGTGCGTGGAGGCAGGTGTGCGAGCCGTGCGGGCGGGGGGCCGGGGGCTCGGGAGGGAAGGGCAGGCAGGCAGGGGAGCCAGTTCCCGCCTGGAGGGAGACGGTCCCCACTTGCCGGCTGGTCCTGCCAGCTGAACAGACCTGGCTCAGGCTCCTGAGATGCCCCGAGGCCCGCCTCGCTCTCCCCAACCCCCCCTCTCCTCCCACAGCCACGTGGCTGAGACGCAGCAGAAAAGCCTGCCCTTGGACCTGATCCCCAGAACCCGCCTGACGTCCTGAGCCAGGGGACCCCTCTGAGCCTCAGCTCCATCCTTTGCCAATCGGCAACAATGACGTCTCCTTGGGAGGACGACTTTAGGTCCACATTTAAAGGGGAAACCAACATGAAAGTGGTTTGCAGCTGCCTTATAATCAGTGGATGAAAGCTCGGTGGTGGGGGTGGGGGGACAGGCCATGGACAGACAGGAGGGCAGGGCCTCTGGGGTAAGGCCTGTCCCAGAACACAGCCCAAGGTGCCTGAAGGCTGCAGGGCTCAAAGGAGAAGCCCAGGTACTGCAGGAAATGTGAGGAGCCGGCCCCTGACCAGCAATCTTGACCTCGGGGGCAGTGCTGCAGGGCTGTCTAATAAGACTGTTTCAGAGCGTAAATAATTAAACCCCGGGGGCCCAAGTTGCTGTCCCCACCCCCCCTCCAGTGTCACACAAGCTCTGAGGGTGTTAAGCCCCATCTGAACAACGCACTCCTTCATGTATCTAGAAAAGGCGGTGGAAGGAACACAGTGGACACAGAGAGAGGATGGGGGGCTCCAGGCTGGCCTCCCGTCTGCCCTGGGCTGGCGGGGCCGGGTGGGCACGGTGGGGCAGGGACAGCTCAGGGACACGGGGAGTGGCCTCTCACCTCAAGAACTGGACTCCCGTGGGCCCCAGCGCGATGACCCTGCTGGCCAGGCCCTCCTCCTCAGCCAGCGGGGGCGGCGTGGGCAGCTTCTGAGGCTTCACGAGGCGGCAGGTGATGCGGGTGGGCGCCGCGCACGTCCGCGGCGGGACCACCACACGCAGGCCGTTGTGCCGGCTGCCCCGCATGGAGCCCCCGCGGGCGTCCACCATGAAGCTCACCAAGAACCTAGGGCACAGCGGGTCTGTGTCGGCATCTCCCGGGCGAGTGGGGCAGGAGCCACCAGCCCATCCCGGTCCCCGGCCGCTCACCCTGTGTGCACGGGGCTGGCCACCGGGCTGATGTTGTCCGAGGTCTCTGTGGCTGGGCTGCTGGGGATGAGTGAGTCTTCGTCATACTCCTTAGATGCCTGCAGAGGGGAGAAAGGCCGGCTGTCCCACTGTCCCCAGGCCACAGCCGCTGGTCTCAGCCAACAGACATGGAGCAGGGGAGGGAGGCTGGGAGGCTCAATACCAGAAACCAACAGCTCAGAGGCAGTACTCCTGCACTCATCACCAGCCCACTGGGCCAAGGCACACCTGGACCCTAATAGGAGACCCCAGGACAGAGCTTCGGACAATGGAGCAAGTCCTCACTCCCGTCCAGCTTCAGTCTCCTGCATCCCCAGTGCAGCCCCGACAGGCCCACGCACTTCAGCATCCCCTCAACATGGAACCTGGGCTCCATGCAGCCTGGTTTCACACTAGAGTTGGCGCTGGACCCCCATCCCCTCCCCTACGAGCTGTCTGGCACTGGTCCTGGGGTACCGAGGTGCACAAGAGGAACAGAACTGACCCTCGTCCTGGGGGATCCCTGTTTCCTCATCTCCAATGGGACCGACCCCCACTTGCCGTGATGCTGTAACTTTGGGGCCACGGGACTGCCTTGCCCCAGTCCTCATCCATCACAAGGACTCACGAAGCTAGCAGTTCTGGATCCGGCCCTGGTCCCCTCCGGGTCGATGCTCAACTCTGCTCTCGCCCCTGCTCCCACACCGGTCTAGACGCCCAGGTCCCTCTCCTTCACTGGCTGACCCTACTTGTATTTCACATCTCGCCTCCTCTGTGAACCTTTCCCGTTGACTCTGATCTGGAAGAGCTTCCACCACACAGCTGAGCCCTTCTGCATTCACTCTCCCTGCATCCTGGGTTTACTATGTTCACAGGCCCAAGCCCCCTCCCCAGCTGGACCATCTGCTCCCACATCCTCCCACATAAGGCCCCCAGCAGGGTGCACAGCGGGATCCAGGAAACACCTCCTGACTCAAGGGCATGACTTAAGCAAAGGGTCAGAGAGCCAGTGGATCAGGGAGCCAGTGGATCCAGGACTACTCAGTTCATTTCATCACCAGCTCCAGCAGCATCGAGGTGGGGGGATGGGTCACAGCAATCCCAGGGCCATAACTGACCAGATCCCCCAAATGCTGCCCGGGGTGAGACACCTGCATCACACCATTCTGATGTGCCCTGGGGACGGCGTCACAGCCACCTTTTCCCTGCGCCACCTTTGGGCCCAGGGCTACGGCCGCTGCTTTCAGACAAGTGCCCTTCAGTGGCGAGGAGGAGACCAGCTTCAGCTGGAAAACCGACAACCCGGGCTCAGTTATCAGGCCCCCGGGCTGTCATCTGCAACCTCCAAACACCGCATGGCTTTCTTTTCTGTCCTACGAAATCCCTTTGCCTGAAGAAAATAAAAGTACCAAGTGGCATAAAATTAAACCTAGAGAAATTCAGTTGTTTTAAACTATCCTGCCCATGTGGGGGGCAAATTCAGGTGACACCCAGCGAAGCCACAAAATAGGCCACTATAATGAGTCACAGCCCACGCTGGGAAGAGCTCTCTGACACCCCTGTCTTGTCTGTGTGGGTATTTTAAGCTCCCAGTGATCCCTAGATGAAGGTGAGTCAGAAACTGTCCTCTTTTTCCTGGATGGGAAAGAAAAGGAGTTCAGAGTTCCAGGCTTGCCCTCAGCTCCTTTTCTGGCACCGAGGCCCCCATGGGTGCAGACGGCATGTGGTGGTGACAACATGGGCTTTGGAGCCAGAATGTCTGGCATCAGGTCTCAGCCTCAGTCGTGGCTGGACTCGCGTCAGAGCGTTTCCCACGCCCTCTGAGACACGGACCATTAACAGCTGGAATAATAAGGCCACGGGCAGCGCAGACGCCACAAACAACACGTGGAATCCTGCTCCGCAGGGCTTGGTAAATGCTACACGCTTCCATCCGTTAGGTCCTGTCCTACTGCAGGGCATCCCAGAGCATCACAGTCCCCGGGCACCTGCTCACTGCAAAGAGGAAGTCACAGAAAGGACGCTTCCTACCTGTTCTGGCTCCTCGGGTCTGATCACCACCGTCTCGGGTGTGACGCATGGGATCCGCGGGATGGCTGGGGATTCCACCCTGTGCGCCCGGAACATTGGGAAATCAAGGGGATGCGCCTTCGGAGAAGCCCCCCTCATCTTCCACGGGAGGTCTAAGCGAAACACTTCTGTACCCCCAGAATCACCTATCCAGTCCGACCCCCTCACCATCGCCGGAAGCCCCACCGGCAAGCGTGGTGCATCTTGGCCTCCATACACTGACCAGCCTCCTCCCTTGGCCTCCACGCCTTTCCCCAGAGCCTGACTGTCCTTCCCAACCTCGCTGAGCAGAAGGACTCGCCTCCTCCAGGAAGTCTTCCCGAGCTCACCACCCCAGTTCTGCAGACTTGGACCCCCTTGTTGAGGGAACCCTCACTCTGACCATAACATCTTATCCTCCATCACAACATGACCGCTTTTGGTGTGTATTTTGATCCTACCTAATGGGTGCTTCGTGGTCAGGGTCTGAGTCTCTGATGTTCAGTAAATACTAATTGTAGTTTCACTTGCCCTTGTCCCACTGCCCTGCTTTGGACAAGCCATGGGACCAGGCTGGCACGTGTCTGTCTTTTCAGAGACCACCGAGGGCTCAGGGTTTCTACAAAGTTGTTGCTTTTAGATTTATGCACAAAATATCCATGAGTGCCATGGACCCGGGTTCGAAGAGCTCAGAGCATCATAGGGAGGAATGAGAAACATGTTCCGGGCAGACCCAAATCCTTCGTGGGTTTTCCCTAATGGATCGGCCAATGGAGGGATGTGGTTGGCATTTGAGCTCAGCCTGGCAACGGTTTCTAGTGGGAACCTCCCTTCATAGATTTTTCTGGTGAGAAGCTGAGAGGGGGAGGGGCGTGGATAGGAGACTGTGAACGAGGAGGGGGAGGAACATGGGAAGCAGGGATGCTGGAGAGGACAGCGTGCCGGAGGGGAGGCCTCTGTCCCCACCTGGCGCTCCGGGTACAGAGCCAGCTTAGCCTAACGTGGCCTTCGTGGGACCTCCCTGGCTCTGAAATCCTTCTGCAATGAGTCCCAGGGGTGGACCTCGGCCTCCCACACCATAAACGCTTCTTACACTTGGTCCAGCTTCGGCACGAAGTCCAGCAGCTCTTTCTCTTCATCTACTTCCCTGGAATCCTGCTTCTCAGCCTTGGAGCTGACAAGTTCTTCCCCTGAAACCACACAAGTTTCCGTAAGTGAGCGGATGGAGATCCCCTCTTTCTTTTGGAAAACGTGCTTTCCCCGCGCCTCCTCTCAATGCTCGTCCCTGAGGAGCGGAGGCAGGTCTCTGGTGCTCGGAGGTGGGACCATGAACAAGGTCTTCCACCAGCCCCGTTCCTCCAGCCCTGGCACCCGGAGCCGGGCAGCCAGCCCTGACATCTCAGTCTGCACCAGGCTTTGTAGGAGAAAAAAAGTAACAACAAAAAAACCAACCAGGAAGCACTTTCTTTGCCTGACAAGTTCCACTTCAAAACACCCTTGTAGGGTGTGCAGTGACACCAAAGAAAGAGGTGTTTCTGTTCTTGCCCACACCACACGCTCCAGAAGAAGAAACCACCGTGGAACGGAACCCATCTATTCTGAAAGGCTCTAGGGACTTCTGTCACCACGGTGGCGGGAAACCTCATGATTTCCTGAACCCATCACAAGGAGGCTCAAACTATGTCTGCAGCCCAGACCTCTGCCTCTCCGTTTCCCTCTCCTTTTCTGAACTGGGGTTGGAGCCCTCGACCTGGCAGGGCTGTTTACTGTCACTCGGCAGGGCGTGTCCCGGGGTGTGATCTGGCGCCGACAGGATGGAATCACGACAGCTCATGCAGCTATGGTCACAGACACGGTGGCAGGGGTACAGACACACACATGGACCCGCGGGAGCTGCCTGCCAGGGCATGGATCTTATGGGTGGACATTTCCTGTTTTAGTCAAGCTCCGATTGTTAGCGGTCAGAGCAGGGTGGAAAGCATGGATGGATTAGTGAGAGCCTGGATCGCTCGGGGTGAAATGCACTCATGAGAAAGGAAGGATCACAGGGAACAGAAAGTGTCTCATACCCATTATAGTTATATGAGCGGTTCCTGGAAAGCAAAGAAGAGTCACGTTTAAGGAAGGACAGGATTGAACTCAGTTCAAGCGAGACACATCTCTAACACAGGAGAGCGCTCACCATCTAGGTGACAAAGCTCTACAGCCACCGAATTACCAGGACGGAAGGGACATAATCCAGTCCAGCTCCCCCTTTTATATGATAAGGCTTCTCTTCCAAGAGGAGACACGCTCACTTGGGGCAGGAAAAATGCTACAAGGACTCGGCGGCTCATGGATGGAGAAACTGTAGCAATTTCATAATGGATTCCTCCCCAAACTTACTGACCCGCTAGGTGGTCAGAACAGCAGCCTATTATTAAAAGGAATTCTTAACAGATTTTAAATATAACAGCACAGGGAACGCATCAGGTGGAATTTTATCACAGTTCCTCATGGCTCTGAGAGCTGATCTGAGTAGAACTGCACTCCACATATGATATATGCAGACACACGTGTCTTTATGAAAATTTGTGGGATTTTATATTTTAACCTCTGAGATGCAGGGTTCCTTCTCCTAAAATTACACTTCAGGGGCATTTCTGATAATGGACCACATCTTTAGAAAGAGGTTCTGTCCGGCTGCACCTCAGATGGCAGGATGTGGGTTACGTGGCAGCGGGGGGAGGTACCCCAGGGTTTTCGGAGCCCTGACTTTACCCCGACGTGACGCTCATCCCAGACTGTACCTTCATCTTCAGAGACATCAAGGATCTCATCCACCGTCTCAGGGAAGCTCATCCGGTGCTTGTCACTGACAGACTAAAATGAGAAAAAGCAGAGAATTCAACCCAGAGTAGTGGGCCCTTCCATGGAAGTAGCACTTAGCTGGCTATGACTATGGAGACAGGAAGGAGATGGGAAAGGAGGTTTGTCCCAAATGAAGAAAATCACAGGGAGGCTGGGGTCCGGAAGGAACCAGAGAGGGACACAGGAACCGCCAGCCTCCAGTTCCCTGTCCCTGCCCCCAACCCCATCTGCTGCGGCCACAACTCCTCCGGCCACTAGGTGGCAGTATAGCTCCGCCTGAGGGAGGAGGACCACCCCTACTCCCCTCCCCCCACACCCCCCTTCCGCCCATCTTTTGGCGACGAGCTCCCTGCAGGAGTCCCAGAAGCCCAGAAGGCGCTCGGCTTCCCGGGGTATCTCACGGGGCTCCCTGGCTGTCAGGCTGTGTGTCCCCGATGGGGGGCTGTTCAGGGGAGGAGCGGACGTACCACGACACTGGTTTCATCGGTGACAACCTTGAGCACGTCTGTTACGGAGATGTAGCCCAGGCGCCGGGCTATGGCCAGAGGTGTGGTTCCATTCTGGGGACAACAGCAGACGGAGGGCGCGATCAGACCTACCCCCTGATACAGGCCAACCTCACCTTAATTCCAAAGGGCCTGCATGCAGCCCAGAGCACGACCCCTGCACACATGTGTGAGCCCAGACGTGTGGAGCAATGCTGCCCCCAAAGGCGGGGTGCGGCAGTGAGGAGGTGGCGGTACTTCCCTCTGCAGCGCTGGGTGCGGGGGGGCCTTGACCGAGAGCAGGGGATCTTTCCACCACAAGCCAAGAGCAGCCGGGGGTGGGGGGCAGCAGGAAGGTCGGGGGTCAGGAAGGCACCAGGGGCGCTTGTCGGAACAGGAGGGTCCGAGGGAGTACAGCTCACGGCCCCAGTGCCACTTCTCTGGGTGTCAGTTACTGAGTGTTAAAATCCTTAAAATAATCCACACACTTCGTGACTCTTTTCAGGCCAATCGGGGATCCCAAATCACCAAAAATAGAGGTGGGGCATGTTTCTACCCTGATTTTAAGAGGAAGCGCTAAGTGAAACTAAATTGACGATGAGGCTTTAAGTTCCCCAGATCCAGGATGTGCCCCACGCAGATTCAGCCCCATCCACGGTTAGTTTCAGCAACCACACCGACAGTCAAAGGTCCACGCACTTTCCAAGCGGCCATGGAGAGAACTTAGCAAATCTGACAATCACATCGGCAGGTGAGGAAAGTCACACTCAGCAGTGATCACCGACCCCACTGAAGACCCCGAGTTCCCCCCAACATCATGAACCCCCACCGAAGACATTTGGTTTTGTCCACTCACACCGTACTGAGAGCAGCTTCACAAATTTTAAAAAGGGTTTTGACATCTAACTTTCAGTCTTCCAGAAAGACAGACTGATCACAGCACCCCACGCCCTGGGGAGCCGGGGGCGGCTGGTGCTGCAGCCCGTCCAGGCCCCAGACCCGCAGTAGGATGGGCGGTGCCTCCATCATTCAGGGCTGCCCATGAGAGCCATTCTCCGAAATCAGGAACCAGGTGGGTACTCACCGAGCTGACCTCGTTTGGGGAAGCACCGTTTTTGAGAAGCAGTGTCACGATGTCTGTATGTCCTTGCTGAGCTGCCTGGTGCAAGGGGCTGTATCCTAGCTGTAAAGCGGGGTGAACATCGGTCAGCATCAGTGAGCTGGGAGAGAAAACCCTGCCCACCTGCTGCAGAGCCTGTCCGTCTTCTCCGTGTAACGTAAAAAAAAAAAAAGGCATTTCCCCATTTCTTCCTCCAGGCTTAAAGTGTGGCCAAGTCCCCAGTGTGCCCAGAGTAACCCCAGCTGACTCCGACTTTGGCCCTCGGGTCAGGTCTCAGGCGTTCCAATACCTTGGTCTTGGCATTGACGTCTGCCTGGTGCTGGAGCAGAAACTTCACCAGCTTGATGTTTCCATAGTGACTGGCCACGTGGAGCGGGGTGTAGCCCATCTGGAAAGGAAGAGATGCGAGTCGGTGACCAGCAGGGCGCCCGCTGGGGACACTGGGAGCCACTCTGAGCTGCACGCGAGTGAAACCCTCATGATCACGGTGGTCAGGGGAGAACGGATGAGGGGGCGCACTGGGAGGTCGGCAGCAGCTGTAAGGATCTGTCACCAGCCAGATCCCCCGGGGGCGGGGAGGGAACAGAGCCGGTGTCGGACAAGCCAAGTATGAAATGATGTGAGAGTTCCCAGGGGAGAGGTCAAGTGGGTGATTGCAAAACTGATCCTGTGTCCCAGAAGGAGGTCAAAGCGAGGCGGCGCCTGTGGGGAGTTTGAAGTCTTGGGGCTGAGCGAGGTCACTTAGGATAAATGCAGAGAGAAAAATGTGGGGCCCACGGACTGAGGCAATACTCTGAGGGAGCAGCAGAGAGGTGGGAGGAGAACCAGGAGAGACCCATGTTCCAGAAGCCGAGAGAGGTGATTCCAAGAAGAGAGAGGCCCGGTGCTGGGCAGGGGCTCCGATGAGGACAGACAGTGGCCCAGAGAGCACTGCCGACCAGGACAAGAGCAGAGACGCAGACTTATTTCCACGGGAGAGGTGAAATCCTATAGGAAACAGCCCCAAAGGCCATCCGGGTTACTGAGCTGTAGCCTAGATGGGATTTATAGGAACTGGTCATTGCCTGGAATGAGTGGACTTTGAGTATCTGTTCGTTTGAGCTCTGGCTGCAAGAGGGTCATTTTCAAGGAAGGGTCATGTTCCGCTGAATAGTTTGATGCTCCCTCTAAAGGCTGACAAGCCAAGGTTCTCAGGCTCCTGAGTGTCCCCGGGGAGCTGGCGCCCGATCCCAGATGCCGTCTTGACCCCAACCCTGCAGGCTGGACCTGGAGTGATGGGGTGGCTTCGGGACCCCCAAGTTCTAACCCACAGCATAGGGTCTCTCAGGGCAGGACCCCAAAAGATGACACCTGGCCCACAAAGAAGCCTCCAAGATCCAGAACATTCTTGGGTTTTAAGCAGATCCCTGTTGAAGCTGCAGGCAGCTGGGGATAAAATATGTCTCTAGGTTTTTCTCAGGGAGGCTTCAACTTCACATTGTTGGCCGATGCTCCTGTGGGACTGTGGAGGCGGCTGGAGCTGGGGCTGGTCACTCTGTCCCTTCTTTTTACCACAGTTGCCTTGCGGTGAAAAGGAACACAATGTCGCTTCTTCCAGGAAGCCTCCTCCTTCCAATGGAAACACCCTCTCCTCTCTCTGTGCTCCGCATGGTTCACCAGTGTCTCCCTAACACCGGACATCACACCCACTCTCCCTTCCTGACTCTTACCTCACCTGCAGGTGCCCGAGACAGATTCCAGTGTGTGCTGTGCACTGGGTTTTCCTCAACCACCCCCCAAGAGCTCCCCGCACACAGAGGGTGCAAAGACCAGCATTTATTTAGCCAAATGCTGGAATAAAAGCAGCTAACCTTTCGAGAGCATCCAGGGAGGCCTGACACTTTAACACCTTGCTCACGTACAACAGGTCTTGGAATCACAATTAAACACGCCTCTGGGTTTCTCACTACAGAGGCTCACAGGTCTGGCCGTCTTTTCAAACTCCCCACTAGGAAGTGGGACCATTGGATTAGCATCTTCCAACGCCCCTGCTACCCCTAGGAAGTGGCAGATAGGAACATGCCCTGTGTCCCCGGGTCCTGGGGGACGAGTGGGGGAGGCCGGCCCCGGGCAGGACTGTGGGTACGGGGGTGGGGTAGGGGGAAGCCCACAGGGACAGACATGCAGGCTGCCCGCCTTACCCGGGTAGTGGCATCCACCGTAACGCCGTGTTTGATCAGCACGTCTGCCACTGGAACGTGGCCTTCCTGTGCGACCAGATGGAGGGGAGTGAGTCCACTCTGGAAAGGAAAAGAAGTTCATCGATGTGGAGCCAGGAAAGGGTTCCAGGCCACACGGGAAAAGCAAACCAGCCGTGGGACCTTGGGCAAGCTCTTCCAGCTCTGGGCCTCCATCCCTCTCTAGAACAGGTGGCTGTGAGACTGAATCAGAGGTCAGTGATGGTTTCCGGGAAGGCCCAGACTCAATATTTTAGGCATATATCTCTGTTGCAACTACCCAGCTCTGCCGGTTGTAGTGAGAAAGCAGCTCAGCCAATAGGAAAACGAATGGGCATGACTGCTTTCCAATAAAACTTTATTGACACAAACAAGCGTTGGGCCAGATCTGGCCCGCAGGCCGTAGCTGGCTGACCTCTGAACCAGCTGGACCTTCTGGTACTTCCCAATGATAGAATTTACTATTTCCATGATTTGAGGTGAGCTTCCAAGCTGTGGTTTGTTCATCAAGGAAACAGGGACTATCACTGACCTATCTCAAGGGCAAAGTCAGGCTCTCTTGGGAAAACACCTTATAAAGCGCGCGATGTCCCATTTAAATGCAGGGTGTGGTTAGCACATCACAGCCAGTGCTGGCCTGTGAAGAGGATGGAGAATTCTGCTGGGACTGAAAACACCATGTTCTTGGAGTTCTCATCACAGCTTTCTCATGAGGGACGTTTAGACTGTGTTTGGTATGTGCGCACTCACTCAAAAACGCCAGGAGAGTCTGCTTTCCCCTGCTCCCTACTCAAGACAACTTACTAACCATGGGGGCAAACACGGCTGAGGTCCTTCTGCAGTTGGAGGCAGTGGGCAGGACCTGTCCCCTCCCCAGACACTCCACTCACCCTCCTCTGCCTTCTGCACTTGCCCCCAGGGTTAAGGGGAAGCCAGACCCCTTCCCCGCTGATGCCTGTGCAGGTGGGTGGGCGAGGCTGCCCGTATAAGGACAGGAGGTCCTAGGTCGGTCACAAGCCTCCAGGCACCTGTCTGGGTTGTCTTGTGTGTGGGTCAGTGGAATGTCCCCAGGACAGGGCACCACCGTCCTCGTGGCTCCATACAGAGCTCACTTGAAATGGTACCAGGAAGGAAGCAAGCATCCCACCCAATACAGAGAAGTTCCCTCCCGGGGCCACCTGTCCCAGCTCGTACCAAAAAAGCCAACGCATCCACAGGTTTTCAAGCAATCTTCAGTCACCCTTAAAATGCTTGCCTTTCTGAAACGTATTATGTTCACTTATCACCTGGAGAAGTGGTTCCTCCTGTCATATGATTCCATTCATATAAAATGCCCAGAATAGGCAAATCCATGGTGACAGAGTGTGGATTAGTGTTGCCAGGGGCTGGGGGTTTGCGGGAAGCGGGATATGGCAGCTAATGGAGATAAGCTTTCCTTTCTGGGCAGCGGGGACGGAAATGTTCTGAAGTTAGACAGCCATGGTGTTGGTCTGATTCTGCAAATACACCAACACCATTGATGAAGAGCCCAGTTCAAGAGGGTGAATGTTACGGGATATGAGTTATATTTCGATAAAACTGTTATTTAACCAAAGAAGTGACTCTTCATCTTGCCTGGGTCAGGCATCCCTTTGGAGAAGCTGATGAAAACCATGAGGTCCTCAGCCGGAAGACCACTCAGGCACCCACCCTCACACGCGTGGTGTGCACCGCAGGAGGCTCCCCCGCACACGCCAACAGTCCCTGGATGGAGAACTCCTGGTTTAGTGGATAGGCCGGCATTTTAAAAAAATGCCTTCCCCCCAGAAAAAAATATTTAGTCCCAACTTACTTAATACATTCTGAATGCAGACCTTGGCTTATGTTTCAGAAAGCATGCTGTGGGTTTTAATTTTTGCAGACTCTTGAGTCATTCCAGTAGTCATTTTGGTATCAGGTCTGCTTGGGGCCCATGTGATCTTGGAATAACCTTCCTGAACCTGTTTATTCATTTGCAAAACTCAGATAAAACCTACACTGGGCTCTTGTGAGGTTCACACACGTGCACACACACACACACACACGCATCCCCCCAATTCAGAACCCGGGCGCACAGCAGGACTGAGTCACCAGCACACCTGCAGACACCGAGTTTACCTTGTTACCCAGGTTCCCGTTGGCCTGTCTGGAGAGCAGCAGGGCCACCATCTCCGCGTGGCCCTCCTGGGCAGCCAGGTGGAGGGGTGTCACTCCCTGCACCGACTCTGCGTTCGCCAAGGCCCCGTACTGCAGCAGGCTGCGGGCCACCTCCGTCTGGTTCTGCTTGGCGGCGATGTGCAGAGGGGTGTAGCCGTTCTGAAACAGAAGGAGCCGCCCGGGGCCTGGTCACGGGAGTGCTGTGTTGACAGTCTGGGTGCGCGCCTTACCTTTTAGGTCCTCCTTTGAGGGGAGGGCCAAGCCTGGCTCTTGGGCTGCTGGACACCCACTGAGCAGGGCTGGTGTCACCAGGGATGGCCGCTTAATTAAACCAACCACCCACCTGAGTCCCTCTGCTCTGGAGAGAGCCAGCGAGCGCCATGTACCCATTCTGTCCACCTATGTTCTGTTATCTTGCTCTGTCAACTGCTCTGCCCGAGGTGCTCTGTCCCCAGCAGACGCTAGGATTCAGCGAGGCAGCCGCCGGAACAACCAGCAGGCTGGATGCGTAAGTCAGGCTAGATTCGTAAGTAAATGAAAGGCTCCCACGTCCTCTTTCCTCCAATAAGAAACAGCACCTCCAGGCAGTTCACAGAAGAAAAGGAACAGAGCCAGACTTCTTTCCCTGTGTGGCTGGGCCAATGGCCTCTCCCTCGCCCCGGATCTTGCCGGCTTCCAGCAGGTGGTGTAAAAGGGTGTGGAGTCAGTCTTGGATCCACTGAAACCGGTCGTGTAACTGGGGGCAGGACAGTCAGTGACCTCTAGGCTTCCTTTCATATTTTTTTAAGCCATTAGAAGTGGACAGTCACACCTACTTGCTCTTAAACTTGCTGAATGGATCAAACATGATACGACATGTGAAGGTGCTTTCCAGAGTTAAGATATAAAAGCCACAAGCCTGCGTGTGGCTTTGCACTGGCTCATGAGATGGGCTGAGCCCATGGTGAGGTGATGGGGCTTGGCCCCCGGGTGAACCAGCTCTGTCACATGTGCCGTCCGCCCAGCTGGCTTTCCTTTCCCCGTTGTTTCGGTCAGAAGACTTTCTCGATGAAGGAAGCAGGGTCCGCGTTTGCCTTCGGGAGCGAGCCCCGTATCCCGCTGCGGGCAGGTGACCGTCTACCTTGGTCATCACTGTTGGGAACCACTTCCAGCTACATTATCCCTCTCAAGTTCCACCACAACCACGTATGCGAGAAAGGCAGGCATCTTTATTACTCCCCCCCCCCACCTTGGGGGTAAAGAAGCCAATTCTCTGCAAGGCTTACTGTCTTTTCTAGTGTCAGACAGTCAGTGAAACAGCAGAAAACCCAAGCCTGACCTCGTGCCCCAGATTCCAGGTTCCTTCCTCTGGAGCAGGGCTCCTCGAGTTTCAGTGTGCCTAAAGCCACTCGGGATCTTGTTAAAACGCAGATTCTGACTCAGGAGGCCCAGGACCCTGCATTTCTAGCAAGTGCCCAGGTAATGTTGATGTTGCCAGCTACCCTTTGGGTAACAAGGCCCCAGAGCATTCAGGGCCAAGGGGGATGCCAGGCCTGAGGACCTCTGGGCGGGACTCAGGACTGTCACTGGCCCACCCGGTCCCAGAGCAGATGGCGTAAGACATATGGTGTCCCCACCTTGGCCAGCATTCTTCTGGCCATCCCAGAGAATCGAATCTCCCCTGCCACCAACTGCCTTCCTGTGGAAACCATTCTGATTCTGCCAGGATCCACCGATCAGCAAAAGGAAACAGAAAAAAGGTGGCAAATCCATGCAGTAAATTCCCAGTTTTATAGTATTTGGGGTGCAGGGTGAGATCCAGCCACAAAGTGGATCTTACAGGGAAGCAGAAAGTTACAATTTACCCAAGAATTAAACTGAGTAATAAAAATCATTCTCTTTGAACAATTAGGTTAAGACCATTCATTCCGGTACATCTCCTTTTGAGTTTGCTTTTGTTACGAGAAAACGTTAACCCAACGTGGGTTGTGTTCCCATCACAAGATTGGCATTTCACTGATTATAAAATTAACTCAACACAGTAAGTTTCGTTATTGTATCAAAAGGGAGCAAAGAACAGAGGTGCGGTTCAGTTGATCAAGCCTGAGATCTGGACTCATCTCCAAAGGGAGATGATTTCTGAGTATCAGAGAATCTTCTGACGTCAGAGTCGAGCTTCTTTTTGCCTGAGCAGCACTTTTCAAACTTAAATGTGTGTGAAACCATGTGGGATCCTGTTAAAGTACAAATTCTGATTCGGAAGGTCTAGGGAGGCCCTGGACGCTGCATTTCTAACAAGCTCCAAGTCAGGATGAAATGGGTGGAAGCAGGTGCCCACCTCAGTGCCCAGTGCCTGGCCAATGGAAGCGAGGACTGTTAGGACTTCTTTTCCTGCACAAAGTACAGTACCTTGAGCAATCTGAAGCCTACTCATGTCAGTATAATTGGAAGTCCAGGCCACGTGGGCATGTCCGCGCTGGCAAGGACAGCATCCTGTCTGGGTACCCGGCAAGCTCGCCCTGGAGGTGGCACAGGCTGCCCAGCGAACCCCCAGTTAAAACTTGAGATGCAAGAGCAACTGTCAGTCTCAGAACTGGCGCTGCCCCTCTGAGCTTCCCCGAAACCAGGACTACAGGGAATGAACCACCCTCTGCAGGTGACAAGGGGCAGCTAAGCAGGAGAGTCAGGGAGAGGCTAGGGCAGGACGGAGAGGGACGTGTGCCAGTAAAAGGCTCCTCCTCCCCAAGGAAATGAGCTCACCCAGAGGAACGCACCCGCTGGAGAGAGATCTGCCTAAATGTTAAAACAACATTAGCATCAAAATTAGAAAGGGGCGGGTTTGGTTTGGGTGCAGAGAGATTTGCATGTGAAATTCTACAAAATTGCCAGACGACTTCGGAAACTATTTTTTGCCATGGAAACAAAACCCATCTGTACAGGGTTTGTGCTTGGATAAAGCTCTCTTTAAATACCATGCGCCTGGCTCCGGTCTCTTTTATATAAGGAGGGGGGCGAGGAGGAGGGGAGTCCAGCTTTTTATTTTTAGAGGCAGGAGTAAGTCACGTCCTTAGCAGGGCTACGTGCTGTCTACACAGTGATGTGGGCTCTGGTACAACAGCGCGGGGACTGGAGCCTGGGGAGACAGGGTGTCTGGGAGATGCTGTGTCTGCAGGAAAGTGATGCTGTAAAATTCAGATGAGCATCCGTTCTGGGAAGGGAAGGCAAACTGAAGCCGGCACTGACTCTTCCCTGACTCTGCTGCGTCCCCACTGAAGTCGGCAGGTGCTGGCTGGAATCACACACGGACCCCCTCCCACTGTATGGCTGAGCACTGGGGTTCGCTCTCCCAGAAACTGGTAAATTAGCCTCTGTTTTTTCTGCATCTTGGCTGATCATCTAAAGGTGAGCTCAGGGACCACGTGTGTCCTTTGCATCTCCCCACCCCTCCTCTGCGCAGCCACCAGCCCCCCATGCTCCCCTCCCCTCACAGACCCTGCAGACCCTCTCATCCCACAGGGGGCAGCCTGTCCCAGAAGTGATCCTCGCGACCAGCTTTATCCCCTCCTCCCCCACCCTCCACTCTTACATAAGCCCCATCAACGAGCCCACAGCTCTGAGCACCGCATCCCAGGGGCTGGCGTGAGGCTGGCACTTGGACACACCTCACCGCGTAACGAACGTATGTCAGAAATATCACCATCCCAGAACCTGAGCTCATGAGAGAAACAGATCTGGGGGGAGATTATTCTTGTTTGAGATAAGTTCCTTGTTTTCAGGTTCTGGCAAGCTCACCCCCAGCCCCGAATGTATGTTCTCGAAGTGTGGCCCCTGTCCCGGGATCCACCAACATGTTGCACGTGACATGCTGACACAGCCTAGGGGACACATTCGTGGTGCGAGATGAGGTCCACCTCTGTGAGGTGACCTGTTCAGAAGAAGCGTCCCCCCCTTCCCGCCCGACTCCCCCAGGAGAGGCCCGCACACTGCAGGTCGTGTCTGCAGAAGGGAGGTGAGACTGCCAAGGAGGAAGAAAAATGGAACACAAAACCCTTCGACTGCTTCTGAAACAGCCCTCCCTGCGCAGTGGTGGGCGGCTGGGGGCACGGGGGTCCTGGCGTGGGGACCGGGGAGGCTTACCCAGGCCGGGCTGTGCGGGGAGCCACCCCGGGGCAGCAGCAGCTTAACGATGTCCAGGTGGTTGTGATGCACGGCCACGTGCAGGGGCGTCAGGCCACTCTGCGGGGAAGACGGACAGGAGGCTGGCCATCAATCAGGGGATGTCACCAGACGTCCCCCTGGCTACAGGCAGCACCACTTGGGGACCCGGATCACTCCTTTTACACAACTCAGATCTAGTTAACAGTCATCCCAGGGCCAGCTGTCATCTGAACTCACTGAAGAACACGACAGCCAGACCCGGGGCCACCTCCTCAGTCCGGGGGGCCTGGTGGGGCAGCGTAATCAGTACCCCCATTCAGGGGCCACTGGGTCATTCTAGAAGGGCAAGCTTTCTGTCAGTAAGATCAGTCTTCCCAAAGGCCATTCTCCCTAGGCGGCCGGCAGCTCAAAAGACTGACAAAGTCAGCTGAGGCAAGAGATGCCACCCACTGGTCTACAGGGGACCTTCTGTCCGCGCCTCCCTTCTGAGCGGGGAGGGACAGTCAAACTCACTTTTCCAGCTGCATTTGGATGTGCGTCGTGCTCCAGGAGCAGCTCAGCCACCCGCACCTTCCCGTACTTTGCCGCCACGTGGAGAGGGGTAAATCCTTTCTGAGGAGAAACACAGGCTGTCAGAACCATGGGGAGCCCCAGCTGTCCTCCCCCAAGAAAAGGCCGTGACACAGGAGGTGTCCCACCTCGTCTGGTGTGGGGACACCGGTGGAACAGAGGGGACGAAACCTCTGATCCCTCCAAGGGGCCCAGACCCCAGGAATCAGCAGGCTTCCTCCACCGCTCGCCCCCCACCCCCGCCCCTCTGGTGATGGAGTTAAAACCAACGTGTGTTGCTTTCTGACTGCCAGCTGGCTGAGAGCAGGGGTTGGGTCATAATCCTTCTGTATTCCAGAGCCTGTCTGGTCTGTCCAGAGCAGGTACGGAACAAACAGCTGTTTGGCGGTAAATGGATGAAGGGTGGGGGCGGGGGGGTGGAGGAGAAATGACAGCCACCACCTTCTGGGGAAGGACCGGACACACCAGGCTCACAGATGGTGGCCAGTCCTGTGGGTACATCCTCTCACCTGCCGGCAGTGCAGTGCAGTCAAGACAACACAGAGGACCAGGCGGGAGGCCCCTCCCCTGCCCCAGGCCCAGTGGGGACCAGCCCGCTGCTCCAGGAGAACCCAACGAGGAAGGCTGTACCTTGGTCATGCACGCCTGGGATGCGTCCTTTTCCAGAAGGGCCAGCGCCGCTTCCACGTGGCCCTCTCGGGCCGCGATGTGCAGAGGGGTGTGCCCGGCCGTGGTGGCCAGGTTGGGGTTGGCATTATTCTCCAGCAGGAGTTTCACCATGTTCGTGTGGCCGATGCGAGCAGCACAGTGGAGCGGGGTCTGGTCGTCCTGGACCCCGTAGCAAAAACAAAGAACCGGGAACACTGAGGTTACCCGACCCCGCTCTTCATTTTACAAAGAAGGCAGGTGAGGCTCAGAGAGGTTAAGCGACTTTCTCAAAGCCACACAGCTAGTAAGAGGAACAGCTGAGATTCAAAGCAAGTCTCTGAGTTACGGAAACCAACATGTTCTCTCTTATTTAATCCTATAACAAACCCTTCAAGTTAGTTATTATTTCTACTGAATTACCCGAAGGCTCAGGTTTCCCATCTATAAACTGGGAATATGATATTGACTTAACAGGGCTCTCGTTAGGATCAAGCAGATAGCGTAATAAGATGTTTCACACGTGTCTGGCACAAACTACACGTTGTGGTCGCTCTTACAGGCAGACCTTGGAGATACTGAAGGTTCGATTCCAGACAGATCACCACAATAGAGTGAGTATCGCAATAAAGCGAGTCAAACTTTTTTGTTTCCCGGTTTATATAAATGTTACGATTACACAATATTATACTCTATTACGAGTGCAATCACATTACGTCTAAAACATACATACCTTAATTAAAAAATACTTTATTGCTAGAAAATGCTAACCATCTAATGATGCAGGGTCGCCCCAAACCTTTGAATTGTAAAAAACACACTGCAAAGTGCAATAAAACAGGCAGGCTGGACTGTCTCCTGAGTCCTGCCGGAGCGTCCGCCCGTCTCTCTGTCTGAACGTCACTGTGGTTTTCTCTACTCCAGAGGTGGCGGGGAAGTCAGAACTTGGGGAGGGGAACTGAGAGACTTTTCTCCCCACCCCTGCCCTTCCCAGTTTCTGCTGGAAGCTGGTGGCTGTCAGAGGATGGGGTCTCTGTGTTACTGGGCTCTGGTGGGGCCTCCCTCATGTGGCTCAAACACAAAGCCTATCAATTGGCAAACTCGGCAGCTATTCTTTTTAAATTTTTTAAAATTAAAGTATATTTGCTTTACAATGTTGTGTTAGTTTCTGGTGTCCAGAATAGTGATTCAGTTATACATAACATATATACATATATATTTCTTTTCATATTCTTTTCCATTATAGGTTATTACAAGATATTGACTACAGTTCCCTGTGCTACATGGTAGGACCTTGTTGTTTATCTGTTTTATATATAGCAGTGTGTATCTGCAAATCCCAGACTTCTACTTTATTGCTCCAACCCACCTTACCCTACTGGTAACCATAAGTTTGTTTTCTATGTCTGTGAACCTTAAGTTTGTTCTCTATGTCTGTGACTCTGTTTCTATTTTGTAAATAAATTCATTTGTGTCATTTTTTTAGATTCTACATATAACTGATATCATGATATCTATCTTTCTCTATCTGGCTTACTTCACTTGGTATGATAATCTCTAGGTCCATCCATGTTGCTGCAAATGACATTATTTTATTCTTTTTCATGGCTGAGTAATATTCCATTGTGTATATACACCACAATTTCTTTATCCAATCATCTATCAACAGACATTTAGGTTGCTTCCATATCTGGGCTGTTGTAAATTGTTTCTATTCTTACACTTTCACTCATCCAGCCCCTCAGAATCACCTTTTACAACGAGGGGGAATCTTCTGTATTTAGAGCAAGTAATTCCTGACTGATTTCACTGGCAACGCTTTCTTCAAAGAGTCATTTCTCTTCTTACACTGTGATTGTACCAACAAGCAACATTTCAGTCCCTAAACACTGCTTCTTGGCCTTTCATTATCCTAAAGACACACAGCTTTAGGATGTAAGTATATCTCTGGCCTCCTCAGAGCCCTGCAAACCAAAAGCTGAGCACCTAGCACAACCACAGGGAGGGGTTATGAGGAATCTTGGCATCACCTGCACTGCAGCCCGGCCTTGGTCGGGATGGATTGCTCCTTCCCGCCTCTGGAACTCACCTTGGCCCTGGCATTGACTTTGGCTTTGTTCTGGAGCAAATATTTGGCCACTTCTGTGTGCCCTGCTCTGGCAGCCATGTGTAGCGGAGTCTCCACTTTCTGTAAAATAACATAATTGGAGAAGTGTTAAGCCACTCTGGGTTTCCAAAAGGGCACTCACAGAGCCCCACAGTGCCAGCCTGGAGTCGCTTGGCAGGTTTTGGTCCAATAGGCGGAGTTGCCCCAGCAAGCAGTGACTTCAGCCTTTAGTCTGCTGATACCTCTGTGTGTGTGTGTGTGAGATACACTTAAAAGTAAACCCCAGAGCTAATGAATGCTTAAAGATGTAAATGTTTTCCCAGAGAATGCGTACAGAAGTTCCCAAATCACCGTCCAAGATAAAAACCCCAGGACTTTCAGATGTGTGACAAGTTGAACTGTGAAAGCATCAGAATCTACAGACATTCTCCCCAAGTCTGAAGCCTCGTCTAGTCTGAGAATTCTACCTCTCTCCCCAGAAAGGGAGCTTGGAATCATGGGCTAAAGCTCACCTCTGAGCTCAGTCCCCGGAGGGCCCTGCTCTACCCCCCCGAGGCTTACCACATTGGAGACATTGGGGGACGCCTCCCGCTGCAGCAAGTTCTTCACGATGGGCAGGTGCCCCATGAAGGAGGCCACGTGGAGCGGCGTCAGGCCGGACTGGAAGAGACCAGAGAGGAGTGAGAGAGAGGAGCCTTCCCTGCTCCTCCAAAGACACAGCCAGACGGGTCCCAGGCTTTCCTGCCTCTAGGTGCTCCAGCTCCAAAGACACAGCCAGACGGGTCCCAGGCTTTCCTGCCTCTAGGTGCTCCAGCACAATTTTCCAAGAAGAGGGGGTGAAATGAAACGGATCTGCTTCCAAGAGAACGGCAGGAGGGGGAAAAAGAAAACAACCCACTGCAGGGTGGATTCTGGCCACTTTGACAACTCAAAATATTGCACCTGACCTTGGACAGCTCCGTGAGACCCGACACACGCTCCCAGTCTTATTCACCCTGATTTATGCCCTCGAGTGTTCCAGGCTAGTGCGCACACGTGCACACACACACACACACAGCCACAGAGAACAGCTCTGAAAGTGGCTGAGGGAAGATACCTGCGCAGTCCCTCCTACCTCGGTGACGGCGTCAATGGAGGCTCCGGTCTTGAGCAGCAGCTCCATGACTCGGATGTGGTTCTTCTTGCAGGCGATGTGCAAGGGGGTAAAGCCATTCTGCAGCCCCACACAGCGGGAGACAGACAGGCAGGGGCTTACACGCGAGCCCAAGGAACCCCAGACCACCACCCCGCGCTTAAAAAGGCAGCCTCCGCCCCCGCCTATCAGCAGGTCCCACCGGAACTGTCAGTTGCTACAAATCACAGAACAGGCAGGTGGTTCTCACTGGGCACCAGGCACCGTCCCAAGCATGTTGTCTGTAACCAGTGCTCCCCCACCCCTTTTTTTTTAATGTAGTCATATTTTTGGATGCACTGAAGGAGCCTGCTGTTTAAAGATTCCTTAAGGGGAAATTTACAATAAAGAGAACTTCGGTGAAGCAAATTCTGTGCCTGCTTCCCTGAAGCTGCTGATTGTTTTTAGTGAAATGGATTTCTGCACCTCAGCTCTGCTCTGAAGTGACACACCAGAAAGTTAACTCCACAAGGGCAGGGATTTCTGTCCGATTGCTGGGTTTTGTCTACTTGTTTTTTTCAGTGCTTTCGCCCCTTACGGCAGTGGTTCTCAGAGCTGGGGGAGGGGTTTGTCCCACCCCTTCCTCCCCACACCCATCCCTGGGGGGACATGTGGCAACATCTAGAGGCATTTTTGATTGTCACAACTAGGGGAGACGTGCTATTAGCAGGTGGAGGCCAGGCACGCTGCTAACTTCCCACAACGCACAGGCCAGCCCCCCACAACCAAGAATACTGGGCCCCAAATGTCAGTGGTGCTAAGGGTGAGGATCCCCAACTCCCCCAGACAGTGCCCGGCATGTGGGGCTTGCCCAGCGAAGGCCTTCTGAACGAATGAATGAATGAATGAGCTGCCCTTGCGGCCTTGGAGGCTGTCCTGCCTCCTAAATTCTCCTCCTCTGAGAATGGGCAAGAGGGGGTGGGGTCACGGGCTGGCTTCATATGGTCACACCAGAGCCCCAAAACTTCCCCTGGAGCCCCCGGCCTGGGGCAGGGAGAGGAACCACAGTCCCAGGATGGAACTGACTGTGGGCCTGAACTCACCTTTGCTCCAGCCCCATGACCACTGCCAGCCCCTCTGCAGAGGGACAAGGCTTAGCTGAGCCCATCTCACTTGTCCCTAAAGCACACTGAAAAGCCAGGCACTCTCTAGAAATCATGGTCCCCCAGGGCTGGGCTGGGCTCTGCGTGGCCCCACCAAGCCGTGGACACCCTGGGGCACTGTTTGCAAATCAGATCTCCTGGGCTCAAACCCACCTGGACCTCAGCCTGTTACCGGGGGCCTGGGCATTAGGTGCTGGGATGCGGTGGGAGAGCGAGGTTACGTCTGCCTGTGCGCGGCCACACCCCGTGGACCCCCACAGCGCCGAGGCTCTCCCCGCCCTGAACCGCCACGCAGCGCCGGCCCTCGGCGCCTTCTTCAACGGCCTCCCACTCACCAGGGCTCTGGAGTTGGGTTTGGCCCCTTTATCCAGAAGGACCTTGGCCACCCTGTGGTGGCCGCAGTGGGCTGCCACGTGGAGCGGGGTCAGGTGGTCCAGGGTGATGTCGTCTATCTCTGCGTTGTACTGCAGGAGGAGTCGGACACAGTCGAGGTGGTCTCCCTGAGCCGCCATGTGGATTGGGGACAGGCCATTCTGGTGAGGAGGGGAACACAGCAATGGCAGAGGAGATGAACACGGAAATTCAGGCCAACGATCCAACCTCACGTCCCGCCTCCTCCCTACGCGGGACTTCCGCGGGAGCTCGGTTCATTCTGGCCCCTGACTGCAAACCTCCTTTCATCTCACCACATCCTGCAGGCCAGCTCCAGCCAGGCCCACCTCTTCCACGAAGTCCTCCCTGGCCACCCTCGACTTCTGGGGGCCTCTCTCGTCTGTACCACTCACTCAGACCTCATTCATCTAGTTGCTGAATTGTTTCCATAATTCACATCTCAGGTGCGCGCCTCTTCTCTCTTCCCTTAGAAGCTTCTTAAGAGCAGTGACAGTGCTTAGTAACTCTTAACTCCCTCCCAGTGCCCCACGCCTGCGTGTAACACACACAGTGGTCCTTCATCCATGTGGTTTTGAATAAATGAGAGACAGTAAAATGGAACTTGGATCTAAATCCCTCTGTTCTTTGCCCCTAGTAAGTGCCCATCACTTTAAAAAATTCTGTTAAGGATCCTCACTGTTTCTTAGACAGCAATTTATTTATTTTTTAAATGAAAGACAGAGGAGACTCATGCACTCATTTGTTCAGACATTAATTTAGCAAATACTAAGTGATTCAAGTGCATCTGGTGTTAGGTTAAGGTCTGGGGAAACAGAGGAACAGACATAATCCCGGGCCAAGGAAGGTACCAGTGGATACAAGACAAAGAAACAGATCTGCTGTTGCCATCCTATGTGGTGACGTCAGGAAGGCGTGATACAGCACAGAGGAGCAGGGAGGGTGGAGTCACGATGGGAGGATGTGGGGAGAGAAGGCTTCCCGGGGAGGGGATCCTTGAGCTAGGACCTCACTAGAAAGATGAAACAGAAGAGGATCCCACAAAGGGGACGGCATGTGCGGTGCCGTGGAGGCAGCCACCCCAGGACCCAGGGAGCTCTGAGCAGGTAAACATGTGAGAGGAACGGGTGATGGGGCGTGGAGGTGGGCTGGAGGGGCAGGCGGGAGCTGCATGGTGAAATCCATGAGCTAGGAAACTGGGACCTGAGCTTTCAGGAAGTGACCGCTGAAAGGACTGTCACTGAAGGAGAAGCAGAATCAGGCAGTGTGGCAACTATTGTCAGTGCCTGGATTGAACTAGGTCCCCTCAAAATTCACATGGTGAAGTCCTGACACCTGGGACCTTGGGATGTGAGCGTATTTGGAAATAGTATAAGATGAGGTCGTTGATGTGGACCTTAATCCCATACAACTGCTGTCTTTATAGAAAGGGGGAATTTGAACACACACAGACACACACACAGACACACAGACACACACACACAGACACACACACACACACGGAGAACACAGCACCCCCTCGCAGATCCAGGAATAGCCAACTCTGCCAACACTGATCCAGGACTTCCAGCCTCCCGAGCAGCTGGACAAGACATTTCTGTTGCCGAAGCCACCTGGAGCATGGTACTTCATTACAGCTGCCCCAGACCTGACACCGTCACCAATGACTGCATTTTAGAAAGGTCACACCAGACTTCCCAATTGAAAAATCAGAAGTTTTCCATAAAGAATTTTCATAATCATCCTTTTTAGCCTTATTCTAATAATCTGGATAATATAAAATCCTTAACAACTTAGGACCATTTTTATGTTTAAATATGGAGCCTCTGCGGGAAAATGTTGAGAATGTCCTGACCTAACGGTCTAATTGGGAGGATTCTGCCTTCGCTTATCTGAGGATTTTCACTTTTATACGTACTTTCAAAGATATCATCTTCTGCCTCATGATCATCTCAGCCGTGGATGGAGGACTGAATATGTCCACTCGACACACACACACACGCAGGGCAGCCTGTGCCGTGAATGTGACCCCGATTTCCAAGAGCTCTGTCCGACCTTAACGTGATCATCGGTCAGGGAATAAACCTGCTTTAAGGGTGTGGACTGTGCTGCAATTTTATGACAGGGAAGTGCTCACAGGGAACCCCGGGAGTGGCGGCGAGTGGGTCTGGTTTCTGCCTTGCTCTGTTTGATGCACCTGCTAAATTCACCCCAAAGAACGAGGGCCTGGAGGTGGGGTGCAGGCAGCACCAGGCGCTCTGAGCGCTTTAGTCCTGGGAAGACTCAAACCTCACACCAGATTTAAGGACGGGCTTTTGCTCTAGCCCCCAAAGGACTTTGAAAAGAACCGTTTTTTTTTTTTTTAACTTCCTCCAGTCCAGCTCAGGGTCTGAAGACTCCCTGAGTGCTTAGTTCCTGTGTTTTCCGGAGCCAAGGGAAAAGAGACAAGGCTTGACGTAGCACCATGTAGACAAATGACAGCCCACGGGCCCAATCTGGCCCACTGCCTGTGTGTGTCAATGAAGTTTTATTAGAACAGGGCCGACAGCCTGAATATTCTCCACGGCTGCTTTCCCGCTACAGTGGCCAAGTTGAATCACTGTGACATTGACCACAGCCTGCAAAGCCTAAAAATATTTAATATCTGGTCCTTTAGAGGGAATGTTTGCTGACCTTGATCTAGATAGTAATTAGAGCTGACTGCCTCCCATGGGACAGACACCGGGTCAACGGCGCACATGCCGGCTGAGTTAGGACCATTAGCATCTCTGTTTCTCAGAAACAGAATGCGACCCCGGGTGGGCCTGCCCTGGAGCCCCGGCTGAAAGATGCTTCTGCAAACAGGAAGCAGGAACACACCTTGGTTTTGGCTTGGATGGGCGCTCCGTGGTCCAGCAGGATCTCTGAGATGCGCACGTGCCCATTCCGAGCCGCACAGTGGAGAGGTGTCAATTCATCCTTCAAAAGACAGAGTCAGAAAGAGAAAGCCCCAAAGGGACCCATCAGAGGCCGCTGGAGAGAAGACGGCCCTGCGGCAACGCTCTGGCTGCAGAGGCACGAGCCTTTCTTAAGGAGCAGCTCGACACGAGCCCTCTTGTCTCCAGCTGCCCCTGTGGGCTGCTCTGGAGGCAGGACGCCCATCCCTAGCTGGTCATAGAGACCCCACCCCGGTGTGGGGGCCCTGGAAGGTGGCCCTCCCTCCCCTGGCCCTGCCGAGAGCTCGCCAGCACCCACCTTGGTCCTCGTTTCTATCTGGGCTCCGCGGTCCAGCAGGAGCCGCACCATGATCACGTTTCCCCTGCGGGAGGCGATGTGCAGTGGCGTGATGCCGTTCTGGAGGGGAGGAACAGGACCAGTCAGGGCTTGGCAGCCTCCCCTGGGGTGCAGCTGCCCTGCCCCCTGCTCCCCTGTGCCCCAGCCCCAGCCCTGCTCCAGAAGCAGCGTAGGCAGCCGCTCTTAGCCCTTCGTTAGGACATTTCTCACCCCAGAGAGACTTCAAAGCCCCTAAGGACAGGCCAGCATCGTGGTTCATCACGGCAAGCCAGCCAAACCCAGGTCTCCCAGAGTCAACGACACAGGCCGGAAGAAAGCCAGTCCCCGGCCTTCCAGGCTTCCCACCTCCAGAAACCCACCAGCCGGGAGCCTTCATGGACACCAGAGCTGTCTGCAGAGAGGACGTGCCACAGAGACGTGGGAGCACCGGGGTCTGGCCCCCCTGACCCGGCTCCGTGTGGGGGGGGCCTGCCAGAGAGCCTCACCTGGGGCGTGAAGTTGACACTGGCCCCCCGGTTGAGGAGGAGCTGGGCCACGTTGAGGTTCTCGTAGTGAGCTGCGATGTGGAGGGGGGTGAATCCCGTCTGGGGCACAACAGAGGGGGACAACGTGTCACATGCCATGTACCGTCATTTCTACCTCTGAATCAGCCCAGGGACTCTGAAGAAGCCGGCAGGGCCAGAGGACCCCACACATAAGGCAGATTTGGACTGAGGGGACAGCCGGTGGCAAGTTATACCCAAGCAAGGGGCTAACTCTGGGGGACGCCCAGTCTGTCTGCGGTTCACAAGGACAAACCCTGGACTAGAGTCACCTCAGATGCCGCAGGGAGGGCCCGATCTTCTGCACGGTTACTTGGGAAGAGATTTTATGTAAAGAGTGAGTGTTGTTATGGGGTCCATGACCTTAATTCTCGGGACTGTTTCAGTCCCTAAAGGGGTACAATGACTCAGCCAGGTGGCCAAGGCAGCCCTGTGACCCCTTGGAGGGTCCCTTGTCATCACTCTGTTCCTAACCTCCCGCCACACCTAATCCAGTCAGCAGTTTTCCAGACAAAACCCCATGACCACGGGTTGGGGGACCGTGTGACTGACTCAGTGCAAATCCTCTCCCAGTATAAGAGAGGACATTAATGGTCTAAATTTACAGGTAGTGGACTGGCAGAGTGCTCAGACAGAGGGCCCATCTACACATGGGGACAGCTCCCTCCCTCTCTCCCTCCCTCCACCAGGGGGGCGGCTGGGGGAAGAGATGGAATGAAATTCTAGAAGACCACCCCGGGGGATTCCAAATCCCATTCCGGCCAGAGACCCCTCCCACCCTGCCCGGACACCTTTCTGGATGACAGGAGCAAGGGGCACCTTCCTGCTCCACGCCTGTTCACCGGGGACTTAAAGCGGGGCACCCACGGTGGCTCTCGCGTAGCTGGTGGGGACAGGGGGCCCGGTGGGGCTGGTGCTTGGGGTACACGCAGGGCATCTCTGGTCTAAGCTGGTTCTGGGGAAGTTCCCAGAATTGGTGGAGACCCTGAAGTTCCCGGGCCGGGGCCCCAGGACGCTCCGGCCCCGCCGCTGCCTCACCTTGGAAAGCACGTCGGGGTTGGGGTCATTCTGCAGCAGCACCGCGGCCGTCCGCGTGTCGTCATTGCGGGCCGCGATGTGCAGGGCCGGCAGGCGCACCTTCCCCTTCGTCCCATAGTTGATGAGGTGTGCCACCACGTTCTCGTGGCCCTGCTGCAGAGCCACGGCCAGAGGGGTGAAGCCGTCCTGGCCAGGGGGAGAGGACAGACCCGTCTGCTCTGACCGGACTGACCGCTCCAGTCCTCAGGGCTCTTGCTCGCACCAGGCCCTCCGCCCGAAATGACCTCCCTCCGATTCAAGGTCCCCTTCATCCCGCAGGCTCAGCTTAGGTGCCACCTCCTTTCTTGGCATCCTTTCTTTCTCTGCCATCTCACAGAGCTTACAGTAATTTTCTTTCAGTATTTATTTAACTTTCCTTTATGACTTGCCCCTAATCTCAGGTCTACGAGAGCTTTTTACTCCCTGTCTCTCTGCCTACCCTCCCCCGCCATCACCTGGTGCCAGGGCAGTGCTGTGAACTGACGGCTGACATTCATTCCTTTACTCATTCCACAAATATTACTGAACACCCACCAAATGCTAGCAGCCACGCCAGGCACTGAGGTTTCACTCGTGAGCTACTAAATGTCCTCGGTGCATACTGAGGGGCACAGGACCCGTGAACTGGTGAAGCAATTGACAACAGAGTCATCTAATCATTGGGTCTCAGGATGTTAAGACTCAGGAGACATCTTGGCTCTGACCAGTCCAGTGTCATCATTTCACCAATGACAAAACTCAGGATCAAGTGACTTGTCCAAGGGTGAACAGGGGTTCATGGCAAGAGCCTTTCTCATTAAGGTCCAAGGCATCTGTGAGGTCCCCCATACAGATGTGCGCACGCGCACACACACACACGCCCCCCACCCCTGCCCGGACTTCAGTGCTGGTCGCAGCGGGGATGTCGCGCGGCCCCTGCTGGCATTCCTCACGCATGTGTCTAGGGGTCCCTGGGCCGTGACCTTGTCTCTTTGCCCCCCACCCCGTGGGGGTCTGACGGCACCCAGGACACGGATCACGACAGAGGATGCATCTCAAGCCATGTCCCAGGACGCACGCCCCCACGACCGTGTCCTACCCTGGAAGCTTCCAGCCACGGGGCCATGTTCCCAAGGTACTTACTTCCGTGGCTACATTCTGATTGGCTCCATTTTCCAGCAAAAACTTAACCACCTCCAGGTGATTCTCTTGTGCTGCCATGTACAGGGGGGTAAAGCCTTTCTGTAAACCAAGAGAAAAGGCCACTGGAGTTCACGCATGTCAGGGAGAGATGCTAGAACCCGTGCAAACCCCTCTGAACTCGAGGACAGCTCCCCCTTCATCCTGTGTCCACCCTGTCCTTGGGGCCACACCCCCACCTGTACCTCCAGCTGTAAAAACCTACTGACACTTTGCAAGGGCAGCAGGGTTATTGCAAAAAGCCACCAGGTGGAGGCAATGCGCCCATCCATGTTAGTCTGCTCTGCCCCTCCCAGTATGGTCTGCACAGACACACCTTGCACTATTTCCACCCGCTTCATCATCAACCCCCCGCATTCGGCACAGCCCCCCGACACACACAGGAGACACAACCAAACATATTATTTGGCTGGTTTACTAAACAGAGAGGGGTCCACAGTGACCAACCCCATTGTGCTTAAGAATGTCACTGGAGCGTGAGAAAGCAGGAACGTGCTGGAGACATTGCTAGCACACCTGGGCTCGACTGCACCGTGTGTACAGGGGGCAGGGGATGGCAGACCACCCCCCGCCCCACCCCAGAGCATCACCTGTGACTGGGCATTGACGTTGGCGCCATAGTTGACGAGCTCCCGCACCACCTCGTCCTGACCCGCGAGGGCGGCGATGTGCAGCGCCGTGTTCCCCTTCTGAAAGACACGGGGAGGGAAGGGAGGAGGTTCCCAGGGGCCAGCGCAAGGGGTGTCACAGGTACGGGGACAGAGGTGCCGGCCCCAGGGCGCAGACCACACGCACGTGTGTACCGGACCCATCACAAATCCTGAACAGTGCGGACAGCCCAGACAGGGAAATCCTTCCTTTTCTCCTGAAATAATAATGCCCCAGAATAAGACAGCCAACAACACTGATCTGTGGCATGCAGGCCATCTTCAGCGGACAGGCAGTCGGTTTTCCTCGGGACACGTGCTGAAGGTCTGCCAGGCAAGCCGGCTTCCTGGATGTCCAGCCTTTAGGTCTGCAGGACGGTGCAGAGCCTCCGGGAGGCCCCAAGCTCCTGGGAAAAGGAGGCACAGCATCCTTGTGCCATTATGGTAACACTCACTGACGAAAGGCTGGACCACAGGGGACAGCGGGGGATGGGGAGGGGTGGTCAAGCATCCGACAGAAGAGGGAGGTAGAAATCGTGCAGGAGCTGAAGTGGGTAATAAAACCAACCATATAATGGATGTCGGGAAGAGAAGAAAAATATGAGGGGAAGTGGAGGTGGGGGAAGAAACAGAATAACATCTGGCAAGGGAAAAAATACAAAGAAGGAATATTAATAAGTAAAATAGAGTCAGAGTTCACTCATTAAGAGAGGAGAGGAAAGCCAGAGGGAATAAACACGAGAAGAAAATGAGGTTCACGGTGGTTCTGAAGCAAGTTTTTTTAAAGCTGGGAACTGGTAACAGACTGGGAAGCCAGGCAGGCTCTGAGAAGGTGGGGGAAGGTGCAGCGGTCCTGGTCCGGGTCCGTCCTGGTGTTTCGCAGCACTCGTGGGACCAGCTCAGCTCCAGCAGGCTCCTTCCTGCCTCCGGGGGGTCGTCCCCCCGCCCACGTGACCCCACGGGCACCCCTGCTCCGGGAGGGGCAGGCAGGACCGGCCCACTTGACAACGTCGATCAAATAGGAGCCACAGCTGGACCCGTCTGCTCCTCTGCTCCTTCACAGGCAGGGATCTCAAATCACCTTCTTTTTTTTTTTTCCTAATTCAGATGGCATAGAGTTTTTAACTAAACTGCATGGACACTTGCTAATCCATCTCAGGGCCCTCAAGGCCTGACAAGCAGGGACCTCAAATCCAGTCCATGTGCTGGGATGTCTGTCACCCGGGGCAAAGTGCCTTCCCCGGGGGGGTCTGCACATCACAAGCCTGGGTCCAAGCTCTGGAGCCACCCGGCACCCCGCCCCGCCATCGCCGCCCCAGCGCCCCAGGGCTCAGTCTTTGTTAAAGCGTGACCAGATTCAGGCCGGAGTGTCCTCTCGTTGCCTCCTGGCCTTGTCTTCCTAACCTTTCCTTAAGTCCCATTTGATAAACAAAAGATTTCCTTCTCAAATATCATCAGAGAATCAGTACCAGAAATGAGAATATAGATGTTAATTAATCATTCTTCTTAGAAGACCGAAGAACCTATACTTAGAGGTCTTGGCACCCGGGCCCAACTCACTCGCTGTACCAAAAGGAACAGGGCTGCTGGCACCAGAACCTCCTCTAGGAATCAGGGCCCAGACCTGCATGTCTCCCCACCTAGAAGGAGGCGGGCTGGGACCATCCATCCCTTCATCACACGCTGAGCTGAGTGCGTATGTGTCAGGTACTGGGCCAGCTCAAGAGGTGATGTCACATGTTTCCTTCCATGTGCCCCTTCCTGCCTGAAATCCCACTACAGCAGCTCACCCCATAAACCCACGTGGGGGTGGGAAGCTGGCCAGGGAGGGCTGGGGGTGTCGGCCCGTGACGTCCTAGGGATCTGGGCCAAGGGCACCACAAGCGAGGGAAGGTCCCCTGTCCACACACACATACACCTGCTGCAGGGCTCGGGAAGGACACCCCCGGCCTGGGGGCGGGACTGCCAGAGAGGTGGGCCATGAGCCTCTGTCTTCCCTGCCTCTCTCTCAGCATGAAGGAACATGGCCTCAAAGAAGTAGGAAGAATTACTTAGCTATATTTGGATTCACAAAGACCCAGTTTCTTCATTTCCAGGGAGTCCCAGAGCTCACGGGAGGGAGGGGGCTGCAGTGGGTGCTGAGCGTGAGCTGGGTTGTGGGGGGGATGGGGGGAGGGTGGGTACCGCTGCTCTGTTCTCCACTGGCTTGGATGCTGAGCTGGCCTCCGAGGGTGGCGGGTGGGGGAGGCTAGAGAGAGAATACATTTGTCTCACGCTTTTCACATTTCTCTGCACAGTTTTGGAATCTATATTGGTTTTGGCTTTTTCTTCTTCTCTTTTTTTAATCTCGCTCCTGCTTGTGGGAGACCCATCACAGCTCCCCAATCTGTTGTGACTCTTGCTTGGCCCACGTTTTCAGTTTCATCCTTTTTTTCCCCTCCCTCTGTACGGCGCTCAGAAACCACGCTGGCTTATAAAATTGCCTGTAAATCACAAAGACACGCCAAGTGTTCACTTACAAGACAACAATCAAAGGGGGAAATTCAGAGCGAGTAAAAGTGCTGAAGCGTCGTGTTTCTGCAGCTCTTGGGAGGATGCCAGGGGACTGGGGGGTGGACGGCCGCTCTGGCCCCCACGGCCCGTCAGGTGGCACCATGCCTGCGGCCAGGTAGGCAAGAGCATCGGAAGAGAAATAACCGCATTCTCAGAAGAAGCACGGTGGAGACAACCGGTATTTGTGGTGGGGTTAGAAAAAAAAAACGCCCTGCGCATGTTCAGAACCTTCTCTAGGAATCTGTCACTTCACCTGTGAGCTCTTCCCACCTTCGGTAAATGGCATGTAAATTACAGAATATTACCTCCAGAGATGATTCTAACCTCATAATATTTGGGGAGTTCACTTCACAACCATAAATTACATCTGTTCTCTACACCTTGTTCTTCTGGTTCTCTGCTTGCAAGGAGGCAAAAAAAAAAATTTTTTTTGCTGCATGGAACTGAGGTCGAGGCTGTGCCTGAGACCACGTTGCGTCAACAGTAAGCGGAAAATAAGAAGCTGGTGTGTGTGTGGGGTGGGGACCAGCCCAGGAAGAAAACCACAGGACGTGATAAAGGCAGGGAGGGAAGAGGAAACTGTGCTCGTAGTAAGCAGAGGTGATTTGGGGCTTCAGTTTGGTTTGTTTTTAAATGCAGCTGCATGGTGCTTAATAAACAAATCAGACGCATAAGAAAGGAAACTGATTTTGCAACATGCAGATGCCATCAGTTTCGTGACTGCAGATTCTGGACTTAAGTCACTGGTGTTTATAATCTATTGCTGTGGGGAGGAAGTCCCGCTGTGAGATGTGTACCATCAGTCAGCCTCCACCTGGAGTGAGAGAGGACCCTGTGCAAGGGAACCAGGGAGGAGAGGAAGTGGGTTCAGGGCAAACAAGGAAGACCTGCAGGGAAAGGATACACGAGAGAGATCTGGACCCTTCCAGAGCCCTTGGTAGGACAAAGTCACCATTATTCATCGATTTCTTCCTTTATAGGCATTTTATATACACGCCCACGTTTAATTTCCACATGAATCCTGCCACTGACTATTATAATCCCCATTTTGAGGAAGAGTCAGCGGAGGCTTCTCCCTGGCTAGAAACCTGCTTAAGGTCCCAGAGCAGGAAGCATCTCCGCTGGGATTTGGACCCAAGGCACGGACCTGCAGTGTGCTTAGGCTGGGAAGGCACGAAGCCACCAGGAAAAGAGTTTTCGTTCCAGATTTACAGTCTAGTGATGAGGATAAAGTAAAGGCCCCCTGAATCCTTGTGGAAATGGGGGTCTTGTGTTTTTCAGGTGACCCCAGGCACTCACAGAACTAGGTGCCCGGAAGGACCAGAGAAATTCGGAAGCAGGCTTGCATTTCTGTCGTGAAGGGTCAGTTTCTGTGCCCTTGAGGGTTTGGGACAACACGTGAACTTCTGATGGAAAGCTCCCAGAGAGACGTACCTTGGTTGTGGTTTCTAGGATGATCTCTTTGTGCAGAAGTTCCACCACCATCTTCACGTGGCCTTCTTTAGAGGCCAGATGCAATCCATTCAACCCATTCTGTGAAGAGCAGAGAGGCAGGGAGAGCGTGGTCAGAGGGGCTGTGCGCTGGGCGGCTGCGGAGACCCGAGGGGGCCCTGGGTGGGGTCTGCGCAGCAGAGCCAGCCGGGCTCGGGAGCAGCGTTTGTACCGGGGCGTCAGCGAACAGGAGAGCAGGGAGAGGAGGAGGTGGGTGACAAGACCACCACCGCTCCAGGATGTGAACGGAGCACGGGAAGCTCTCGCAAAAGTAATGGGTGACCTTGACATTCAGATCCCGCCTTCAGCCACCACTTAGTTGAAATGGTGTAGCTTCCACCCCCTGGTTAATTTCCACAGCAGCGACTGACAAAAAGCAAATCAGTTTCTTAAAATTTTAAAATGCAACTCCAGTGCATCCTAAACATTTGCAGAGATAGATGTATTTTTAGTAAAATAATACATTTTGAACTAAATACCACCAACTACCCAGCAGTAAGATTTCCTCAACAGAAGAGCCAGTGTTAAAATCATCCCTTGGACCTAGGGCATATCAAATTTAGTAAGTCAGAGAAAAACAAGTATCATATGATATCACTTACATGTGGGGTCTAAAAAAAGTAATACCAATGAATTGATTTACGAAATAGAAACAGACTCGCAGACGTGAAAACAAACTTATGGTTACCGAAGGGGAAGGGGGTGGGGAGGGATAAATTAGGAGTATGGGATTAACAGACACACACTACTACATACAGGACAGATGAACAACAAGGATTTACTGTAGCGCACAGGGACTGTATTCAATATCTTATAATAACGGAAAAGAATCTGAAAAAAATATAAACGTGTATATATCTTTGAATCACTTTGCTGCACACGTGAAACTAACATAATGTTGTAAATCAACTATACTTCAATGAAATAGAATAAAATACCCCATGACACTTTGGTATTTCAAATGTGACCAAAGCGTGTCTAACAGCTAAACTTCAGGGAAAAGAAGACCAAGCGAACATTTCCCACTCCCAGTCACCAGTCCATAAAAGCAGAACTCTCACTAACGGGTTCCTGTTCCAGCCGTGCCTGGTGGAGCCCCTACTGAGCTCTCCATAAAGCAGCCAGGGCAAGTCTCACTTGTGCCGCCCATGCTGCCTGGCCCTCTGACCCTTGTACTTAGATGTCTTGGAACTTCCTGGCAAAAGGCAACTTTCAAGAGGGCTGCTCACTTTCAGTTCCAACAGAGGAGTGGATCTTGGCTCCACACAAAGGATGATTTTCATCAGTCGGTCATCTCCATTCCCTCCTCCTTCCCCCGAAGCAAGTCTCCCCTCTTCCCCTGCTCCTCCCTCCTGTTGCCTCTGCTGGTCAACTCTGTTCTAGCATGTCCCCTTTCAAGGGGTGCCCCAGGGCCACTGCGGGCTTTGGCTGATTAGAAAGACCCTCACCACCAAGATGGAGGAGCTTGACCCCTGATGGGGTGAATGGAAGAGGTCTCCGGCTCATCCATCCCCAAATATCTCTGCAGCCCCACCATGGGGTCTTGAAATCTCCCTCTGTAGCAGGCCATCATTTTCAGGAGATTCCAATTAAAACACAAAGTTTCTACCTGGGAGTGGTAGCGCATTGACCCATTAACGGATTAGTCTTACTGCTTTGCTAAAACCAGCAGAAGAAAGTAAAAAGTAATTACTTGATGAAAGCAACACAGGATGGTGCCTCTTGATGGGAGAATGCGAGGTGTGGGGGCCTTGGAAGGGGCGAATGTGGGTACCAGGCACCTTGGGTATCAGAGAGCAGCCAAGAGTAGGCTTAAAGGGATATGTACCGAATTCTTGTTTCGATCAGACCCGCCCTGCACTCCAAACACAGAGTGCAATTGGCCACATCTTTGTCCATCAGGACAGCCAGCCTGGCCAGGGTGTGTGTGTGGAGGGGGTGGGAGGCGGGTGATGGGGGAGCCTATTGCAACATAACCCTATGCAAATGCCTGAAAATCTCCATTAGATTTCCTCCTCTTGCAGATTCTGAACACCATGAAATGTAGGCTCCAAAGCGGTGTGAATTATCCACATCACAGCATGATGAGTTTATCAGATAAAGGCTAGGTCTTAGCCAGTTTTGATACCAAAAAGGGAGAAAGTGGCAAGACGGCAAGACAGCAGCCTGTTACAGCGGGGATCTGGGGGAGAGGGAAGAGCAGGGGGCTGAAATAAACCAGCTCCCCTCAAATCAGGCTGCAAAACACAAAGTCACAGAAAAGCAATGTGTCAGGAGAACGATCCCCAGAGGTCTGTGTCCTAACACCACCCCGGGGGCGGGTCTACGAGGGAGTTCCCAGCACTGGGATCTGCAAATTCTCTCTTCACACCCAGCAGTCGACTTGTCTGGAAGGTTCTGGGCGCTGAGCGCTGGCATCCTGTGACTACAGGGGAATCCAGGGTGGCGCGTGTGGCTGTCTGCTCACCGCAGGGGACTCAGCTGTGGCTGCTGGATTGTGCATGGTGCTGACTGCTGAGGTCTTGGTGCCTACGTGGGTACCAGTCATGCTCCAGGAGCCTTCATGAGTCCTGAAAATCTCAAAGCTGGGGAAGTGGCAAGTTGACTAACAAAACATCTATTGTTTGCTGCAAATGCCCCAGGGTGGCTGTTCCAGCTCTTTGGAGCCAGAGCCAGGATCTCAGTCCAGAGGGATTCCAGACACACCACCTGCCCAGAGAATGCTGGAGTCCAGAGGGATATCAGAGAGCCCTGAATGCTGAGGAAACCGAAGCCCAGAGAAGTCAAACGATTCGCTCAGGCCACGCTGCCTTTCTAGGGTACAGCCACATATAGAACCAACCTGGATTTCCCAGGAAGAAAAGGTTTCGGGTTTTTTTTTAACCTGAGGAACTAGTACGTTTCTTTTTATCAGACGATGAAAGCACAGTTCCCCTTTTTTGATTATCAGGCAGCACAGAGGAAACCCTCGGTCACAATAAGCACCCACGTGGGTTGAGACCGCTGTAGTTGGTCTCCAGGATTTTACTCACTGCCCTGGTCCCTAGAAAGCCCCTCTTCTTCCGTTTCTGTGTCACATGCTCCTTCCTGGCAGAAGGCGACGCTCTTTGGCATAAAGGGATCCGCTGAATAAATCTGTGTCTCTGACAAGTTTTTTTTAAACTGAAGTACAGTCAATTACAATGTGTCGATTTCTACGTGGGTACCAGTAGAAACTGAATGCACAGCACAATGTCCCATTTTTGCCTGTACATACATATTTTTTCCGTTAAAGGTTATTACAGGATATTGAGCATAGTTCCCTGTGCTATACAAAAGAAACTTTTAAAAAATCTATTTTTATGTATAGTGCCTAACATTTGTAAATATCAAACTCTCAATTTTATTCTGCTTTTATCCCAGATCCTAGTTCCGTGAGCTCTTTCTTCTTTACAACTTTTCATTTTTCTCACTTTATTTTTAATTCACTCGTTGCCACCACAGTCACCCTAAGTTACTTCCAAGTCCATTGCTGTGATGCCACAGAAAAAGCCCCACGTGGCACAGCTACGACAGGTGTACGAGAAGGCGCAGGAATCTGGTGCAGAGCAGAGTGACACGGGAGTGGGGTGATCGCAAACTCTTGTTCCAACCACACCAAGCATGTGCTTAATCTGTTTCAGCAAACATTTATTGAGAACCTATTCTGTGCCAGGCACCATGCTAGGGACAATAAAACACAAACCCTGACCCTTGAAGAACTCAATTTAGGAGAGAAAATTTGTTTCGCAGAAAAATAAATGCAAAAGCATGTGAAAAACGCCTCAAATGGCACATACAGAACTAGAATCAGCACAGAAGAGAAAGGAGCTGCTTGCTTGGTCCAGGGGGATCAGGAAAGCTTCATGGAGGCCTCTCCCAGGCAGCCTGCACACAGCTGGGGTGCAAGTCCATGACCAATGGCAACGTGAGTTTAAACATGTCTGAGTTTAAATTCTAAACCCATGAGCTAAAATTTTAGAAATGAGGCTCCCAGCCATTCTCATCAAGTGCACTCTTCTTCCTTCCCTGAAGCATCTGAATTCAAGGAACAAAGATCCAGACCCACTGCAGCAAGTTTTCTCCAGTAATTGGCCGCAGCAGGTGGACGGCTGGTTACCTCCAGCAGCTGAAGTCACCGAATGCCTGAAAACGAGTTTACTGCTCAAGTGCACTACGGGGCTTGGACAACTGCCGCACGAGGAGCAGAACTAGTCTATATAGGAGACCACTTCTGGTATTTCAGAAGTGGTTCATGGATCAATATTGTATTTAGTACTTTCTTTTTCTTTAAGCAGATTTGTTATTGTGCAAATCTGAAGCGGGAGGGGTACCGATTCTGTGAGCCACTTGTTCTTAGCTATGTCGATGGCCAGAGGTGAACTGTAATCTATCTCCTCTTTATAACCACGATCCTTGTGTTTTATTTGAGTGAGATCAAATTTAAGTTGTTTGCTGAGAGTAAATGGCAGGCTGTTGAATCTCCCTTGCCTCTTTTCGGCCATCCAGCTAACTTCACAGCCATCCCTCTCCATGCTGAATGGCAGACAGACTGCTGAGGGGCATTATGGGGAGAAATCACAGATTTCTTCCCCCAGAGAACTGGGTGTAGAAGATAAACTAGAAGGACGTGGAGGAATATTAGAGTAAATGTTTCCACTAACTTAAAGCCAGGTAGCAAAAGCAAGAGCTACTTGTGGCCATTTTTAAACCATATGTCTTTCTTAGGAAAACATCAGCTTGCCAGATTCCTCATCCTTTTGGGGGGTCGGGGTGGTAATTAGGTTTATTTATTTAAATGGAGGTACTGGGCCTTGAACCCAGGACCTCGTGCATGCTAAACATGCACTCTACCACTGAGCTATACCCTCCCCCAGATTCTTCCTAAAGATGTCTCCTTCTGGGTCTCCAATTACACGCATGTTAGACTAGCTAATACTGTCCCAGGGCTGCTCTGTTCTGTTGTTTTTGTTGTTGTTGTTTTGTTTTGCTACTCTTTTTTCTCTCTCATTTCACTTTTGATC